CCCCCGCGACCTCAACCCCCCCCCCTTCACCCACACCCACACCCCCCCCCCCACACCCACATCCACCCCACACCCACCCACACCCACACACACCCACACCCACACACACCCTAGCCACACCCACAAAGTTTCTCGAAGATATTTGAAGGTCGTTGAAAGATCTTTGGAACGTCTTCGGAAGATTTTTCTAAGTCTGGAAAAGATCTTTGCAAGATGCTCGAAACATCTTTGAAAGATCTTTCAAAGTCTCAGACAGTATCTCAAAAACATTTCAAGGTTGTTGAGAGATCTTTCAAAGTCTCAGACAGTATCTCAAAAACATTTCAAGGTTGTTGAAAGATCTTTAAAAGGTGTTTCAAAGATCTTATTAAGTGTACGAATAGTCTTTGAAGGATGGGTGTGGGTCTGAGGTGTGGGTATGTGGGTGCGGGTGTGGATGTGGGCGTGGTTCATATGTCACATAAACCCACACCCGTTTTTTCATATGCTCGATCTATCGATGTTGAATGCATACATATTGTACAAGGAAAAGAAGCAAATCGCTCTTGAATATACTGATTTTCGCCTGTAAGTAATTCGACAAATCTTTGAAAAGTATGGAAGTCAACGACATTCAAGAAGAGATCGACCTTTCGTGAACAAACCACTCCGATTGACGGCTCGTCATTTTCCAGCACTAACTGGTCGAGGAAAACGACGATGTGTTGTCTGTAGCACAACTGTCAAACGACCAAAAAAACAATCTCGTACCAGATGCGAATGTTCAGATTATAATATAGGCTTATGCATTCCGAATTGTTTTCGAGACTATCATACTCTAAAGTCATATTAATAAACTTGAATGAAAATTAGAATCATTTTATTTTTTAAATTTTATTTTTGTTTTTTTTTCAAAAAAATAATCACGCCCTGAAAGGGTTGATAGATTCTTTTTTTTTAAATTTCTTTTCATATTGATTTCTGATTGACTGAGATCAAACAACAAGACTTACGATTGAGATTTGTCTGCGCGGATGATGCATGAATTAATCATCTAAAAACTCAAAAGATAGGCAGATGAACATTTTTTCAATGGTTTCTTAAAATAATTAAGATAGTATGAATAGTAATGAATACAAATAAAAGAAATCATCATCGCTGTTCTTTTTGATTTTGAATTGTTCGAAAAATAAGTTGTCGTGTTATTGATCCATTTTCTAATGACTAAATGAATTCTTTCGACATAAAATAGTTTGATTATCCTTTGGGTTTATTTGAGTTGCACTAAGTACATAATCATTATTATCTTCCTTGATTGATTGCTCAATATTCATTTTACTTTCCATTGAACATCTTATTTAAAAGTCTTTTAATAAATGTGAATGTTTTGCTTTGTGAGTGGATGATTCACAATATCATACCATATCTAGATCGTGTTGATAGATCACTAATTGTTTGGTTATTGCGAGTTACTATCTTTGATAGTAAGCCTGTGTTGCACTTGCTGTAGACAATGATTTACGATGAATCGTCTAGCAAATAAAATAAATTTGTATCTAAGATCCATTGTTATAAGTCTATCACATGAATTATTGTATGTTGAGCACACTCATATTTTTAAATATCCATCTGCGCCTAACTAATTAGATGTTCAACTTGTTTAAAATTTGTCAGTCGAGATATCAATATAGTCGAAAATCACTCTGAGATGTTATCAAATAGTGATAGCCAATTTGGTTTTGTTTGCATTAGAAATTGATTTCAATAATTAAACTCGAATATATTTTCTTTACTACTATTCATTTTTAAATACAGATATTTCTAAATATGTTATAGGCACAATTATGTTGAACTCATGCATATGTGTATAAGACTTATAATAGTCGAAGATTGAAATATTTTTTACGAAAAAGACAATTTTTGATTACAACATATAAAATCAAATATATTTAATTAACTGTAGATAGTGTTACGCTTTTTGTTTTAGGTCTTTCATTATTCCATGATAATTGACAATGACTGTTGTCAACTTTCTCTTATTTATGTTTCCATGTACAATCAATTGCAAACAATGATTACATTGAGTCAATCAGTAACTTTACAGAAAAAACAATCGTCTTCTGTTTGAACGAAACAATTTAATAATTTCTTTCTCTTCTTTGCTATTTCGTTCTGCACATTACTTGTTGATCATGCAATCTATTTTGATTATACAGTGAAAGAATACAAATTTGTTTGTTTGCGTAAAAGTTTTGAAAAATATTGTATGACTTGTCAATAATAATGCTAGTAAAACATTCGAACGACAATATGTGGATGAAGAAATACAGTTGTAAATAAGATTTTTCGATCTAACAAGTGCAACTGGTACCAATATTAATGAATACTTTTTGAAAGCAGAATAGGTAGAAAAATTAGTTCGCCTGCTTAAACAGAGATTGCTTCTTTTTTTTAATGCTGTTTGCTTTTTGGTCGGTTGTTATAGAAGTGTGTTGTTTTTGTTAGTGAACGCTTTTTCATCGTTTATTTCAAGTGTTCGCGAAGCGAGGCTACATGAAAGAACAGCAACGAAACGAATAACTCAAAATAGAAGGAATATTGTTTTCATTGTTGCCAATATTTTTTCCTACATCGAAGTAGGTTATGGACAGATAAAAGTCACGCGTTTGAAAAACAAAAATTTACATTCATTCATGAGACATGGTCTTGCAACGAACGAACAATGATTCGTTTGAAAAGTTTTGAGGAAAATCGAAGTTTTTGACCACCCTCTAGTATCTTTTGATGCAATATCAAATAGTCAATTCGAAACAATCAAAAAATATCAAATAAAATAATGAAATGTTAATATCTTCCTAATAGTCTATATATTTGTCTTTTAACCATAAAATCTAACTTGAAAAAATTCTATTTTTATGCGATCATACGTGCCAATGACATTGGAATTTTCTAGTTGCTCTATTAAATTTATCAATTATTGAATCATAGTGCAATTTTATTCATCAAATTGTGTAACCAAAAAAAAAAAATAGAATATCAAACGTGAAAGAAAAAGGAACAAGGGATATAATAGAGAAAAAAAACTGGGCACACAAATCGCCGCATCTATCTACATTAGAAAAATAATAATCAGAGCAGATGGATAATCTACAACTGTTTGTTTTTGATATTTTTGACTAGAATGAAAAAAATATATATATTTGTATGTTATTTCAATCGGTACGGAAAAATTGTGTTTTTGTTCTCTTTTTTAAAGCGCTCGTACAGGTAAACCATAAATAACTGGTGCAGCACCATTTAAACATTTTAATTTACATAAATCACGACCATAACGTAATGCTTCACCAAGTGATGCACCTGCTTTAAGTTGTTCAAGTAAAAAAAATGTTAAACTATCTATATCACGATCGGTTACATCCCATAAACATCCAAGAATTGTTGCACTTGAAAAAAAAAAAACAAATGAAAATTAAGTGTGAACAATTCGAAATTTGAGCAAAAGATTTTTTGGTGTTGTTTTTGTTTGTCACAATTCGATAGAATTCATCGATTTGCCGCAAAAAATGTCGTCTTTTTACATATTCAGACATGTTTTTTTGTAACGAAATTTAGGAAAAACCTATAAAAATTGAACTATTCCAAAAAGCATCAAGTCTCGATAGTATGAATATTTTGTATTCGTAGATTTTGTTGACCATCAGAAATTTAGTTCCAAATAAAGCAAACATCATATTTAGGATCAGCAGGAAAATCTATATCGAATAGTATGCTTAGTGATTAAGAGTACCCACTCCCGTTTTGTGACTCAAAATTTTTGGCTTTTTGTGGTCATTGTATAAAACTAAATTAGCGAAAAGTGTACATTGTATTATGTTTTTCTCCTACACAGTACGTCCAATCGAAGTCAATTGATTTAATGAGTACTTTGTACGAATCGAAGTGCTTTTATTTTCTTTAAAATGTTGTTCCCATGAAATTCGGCAGTCTTTAAAAAATTAGTACCTTTGAAAAAAAAATGCGGTTCTTAACGATACTTACAGCATTTTGCTTCTCGTGAGCTTTAAGAACGAGACTTTTGAAAGAAAAAACGAAGCATAGTTTTGCGAGGGAGGGGAACATTTGATCTTTGCGATCTCATATATATTTGAAGGAAATATCCGGAAATTTTAAGCCTATGACAGCTATTGTTCTATTTATCAAAATTTTTCGCTGAGCTGTGCCCGAGAAATCTCGGAAACAAAGTTCCGCTTAAAACAAAACTTCATCAACTTTCAGCCTTCGCGGAAGTACAGGTTAGATTATTCGGAAAAAGATAGTGAACGAGTGTATGGATCCATACCCAACTACCAAGACTTGATGCTTTTGGCGTATTTCATTTTTTAGAGATAAATGAACGAGTTCTATCTAACGATGTCAAAAAATTGTTTTTTGCTCAAATTTCAAATTGTCAACACATTAAAATTGCTGAAAAACAAAAGCAAAAATAAATTAATACATACGCTCCACATGTTAAATAAGCAAATGGCATTCCAAAAACTTCAAAATCACCTAATGATTGTAAGCGTGCACTTGAACAACCCATTAATAAAACACATAAACGAGAAGAATTTTTTTGTACATCATCAACGGGATAAAATTGACTACCTGAACCATGACCCATATATCTAGCAAATATTTAAAAAAAAGAGAAATCTTAATTTTTTTTCTTTCCATATCTTTTTTTTAACTTACAAAAGTACATCTTTTGATTTGAATATATCTTTAATTGCATCATTAGTTGGAAAACGTTCAATAACTCCATTCCATTTTTCAATTAAATCTGGTTTTTCATTTTGAAATTTACGAAAACGTTCTTTTGTTCGAGGTAGATCATTACCAGGATCAACTATATAATAACCTTTATCAACATCAATACGATGATAAAATGTTTTTTCAATTGGTATTATTGTCATATCATTATTTTCAACATTATTTTGTTGTTCTGATTCAGATGATGAATTATAATAATATTTATGCATACCATCAAGAAGTAAAACTGATGGCAAACGATAAATAACTATTCGACGAAAGAGAGATGTCATACAATGAAGTTGTTCCCATGGAAATATATGTAAATGATTATCAAGAAAAAGTAAAAGATTTTGTGGTGAACGAAGATTTGATGACAATGATGATGTTGCTGTTGTATAAGTACGTAGTTTAAATTCAAATAAACGTTCAATTAAACGACTTGATACAAGTTGAGAATAAATTGATGATGGCAAATTTATTGATAGTTCTTGACGAATATCGTCCAATGAAGTTAAATAAAATATTGTTTGATGAAGAAAAAATTCAATGTATCGACGTTGTTGATGTGAATCTATATATTATTGGAGAACAAAGTACTTCGAATTAATAATTATATCTTTTTCTTTTTATATAAATCTAATAGCCCAATTTTAAAGAATTAGATAATGAAATATTCTTTTACAAATTTAGCATTTGAAAAAATAAAAATATTTTGAAATATCGAGATTTCATATATTGCTATTTTTTTTTTTTTATAAACCTAAATCAAATTCTTACTTGTTAATGGTGTAAGAAGATCATCAATCATAGCTTTTTTTCCATCGAATATACTTGTTTCAGGTAACCACCACCATCTGATTGGTGATGTTAAATAAACTTGATTTAAATCTTCAAGAAGGCGTTCAAATAATTGTTCAAAATATTTTCTAATTGCCCAATAACGATTTGGCTCTGTAGTACCATGTAATGTATGTGTATTTGATTCAATTAAAAAATGAAATTTTTTTATTAATAATCTTGGAAATATAACACGTCGTATAACAGGTGCATAATAATTTCCACGAATTTGTACAGCAAGTATTTTATTACGTATAAGTGTAAATGAATGAAGACATACACATACTTGTTTAGCTGGAAGAAGATCATTTATTAATATATCTTTTAAATAGGATATTGTTAATGGACGAAAATGTAATGCATCTATATAATGAGATAAATGTTCTGGAGAAACATTAGTTGCTGCTGGTAATGGTGTACCACTTCGATCAGTATTATGACTAAATGAAAAAGTCGAGATTTCATCTAACTAAAAGTATTAAATCAGATTAACATTTAATAGACGAATTCTGAAAAACGAAAGTTTTATGGTAAATTGAACATTATGACTGTATTCAATAAATCATGTTAATATTAGAGATGTGCAAAGCGCCTGATGATAACTGAAGCAAATTTTATTTGTCACTTTTTCTCTTATATTTCGTGATTAAATTTTCACAAAGGAGTGAAGCTCACAAGCAAGGCAAGTTTTCCAACTAATAAGTTGCTTTCGAGTCGAGACAAAGTACTTCATGTAGAACTAAATGAATTATGAATATCTGGAAAATTCTGTAGACCCTCAGCTTATTATTGCCGAGATACTGCACTTTCATGATTTCAATTCAGTAAACGATACATATATAACGGGTGGCCCATAAAGAATGGCGGTGTCAGTATTTCGTGAATATCTCCCTCAATTTTCATTGCCCAGGCTTCAACCTTTATCTAAAAGACGCGCCATTCTTTATGGGCCACCCGTTANTCATTTGAATAGAAGCGGGCTGTCGCAAAGATCTTTTCTGCAATGCCTGACGTCTATCAGGCAAATGACAAATGTTCCCAACTCGTCTTTCAAGAAGATTAGCCTTTAGAACTTCATAATCTTATCAAAGCATCTTTTTCTCAGCTCTGTTAGAAAGAGTACACATAAAAACATAGGAAACTTCCATTAGAACGACTTGACATCTGTTTAGCCAGCAAACGAGAAATAATTAGTTGTGTAAAAAAAGCGCATTTGAAAGTGGGTCTCTTTAGAGCACCGTCGTGTTGACAGGATATGATTTCTCAGCTATTCATCGAAAGAGTTTCTTTTCATACAGTTTTGTAGAGAATTGAATGGCGCGTCTTTTAAATAAAGGTTGAAGCATGGGCAATGAAAATTGAGGGAGATATTCACGAAATACTGACACCGCCATTCTTTATGGGCCACCCGTTAGATTTGTAGCTTTAGCTGAATCTATGATAAAAACGAGCAATATGCATTTCTATAGTATTTATGGTTTTCTATGGTTTAGAAATATGCAGGCAAGAGTAGAGTACGGAAAAGGTTATCCTAAATATCAATTCACTATAAAAAAAAAAGTCGAAAAATAATAAACCCTTTTCGCAGGGTTTATTATTCTACGCTATGCTTTTTTTTTCAGTGTTTACTACGGTTCATATTGATTAAAGTTCTGTAGAGAAAAACTTTTCCGTTGAAATTTGATGGATGTTTTTTTTTTGTTTTTACCGTTTTTTTCTTTGATAAATACAAAGTGCATTATATCGAAAACCAATAGCTTGCATTCCAACAATTAAACTAACAATAAGCCAAGGATCTTGATCACCAGATAATAAAATAATATATTCTGCTAAATAACGCATTAATTTAGCATTAGGTGCATATGCTAAACGATCATGTAATTGCATACATTGTTGTAAAAGTTTTTCATTCGATTTCGTTGCTATGTTTATTTCCTTCTCATCATCATCATCGTCATCAAATGTAAGTTTTCTTTCAATATGTAATGCATCAATTCGATCAATAAGTAATTCAATAGGTTCATGATTATTTTCATCTAAACGTGATGATAATGTTCGTGGTGAATTTCTATTTGTATTTATTCGATGTAGACTTTCATCTATATCATCATTACGAATTTTTTGTATACGTTCATCAGCTTTTATAGCTGCTGCACGTCGTGGTCGAGATGATGTATTACTATTTGTTAATCCTAATGGTGGAAGTTTTTTTCCTGTACGATTAGGTGTACATATTGGTGATGCTAATGTTGAATCCATAGGTATTTTATTTCGAAATGTACTCATTAGATTCGATGTTGTTGTTGATGATTTATTAGGTGTCTTAAAAAATAAAAAGAAATAATTTTTTGAAATTTTCATTTATAACTTACAGATAATGTTTTTTGATTATCTTTTTGAAATGGTGTTTTTCCTCGTGGTGTATCAATAAGTTTTCTAGTTTTTGTTTTTATTAATATAGGTTCATTTGTTAATGAAAGTATTTCATCTGTTGTCATTGAATTTAAATCAAATGGTTGACCTGTATTTATTTGTGGTGGTGATAATATATTATTCCATTTACTATCTGTTTGTCGTTGTTGTTCTCTATCATTATTCATTGTTGTCCATTCTGATAGACAAGTTAAATTTGATTCATCTGGTATAATTATTGGATGAAGCCATAATGATGATTTATCAAGAATTTCAGGTGGTTGATCTTCAATTAAAGTTAAAAATAAAATCCATGAATCAGTCCAAAAAGTAAATTCAGTATATTTATCTGAATTGGAAAGATTACTATTCAATAAAAAAACAAAAATAAGAATTGAAATTCGTTTTTAATATATTTATTTCTTACTTCCAAACCAATCGTTTTTTATTTTCAAATGATTTTTCATTTTTTCTTAATTGTTGAAAACATGTTAATCGATATAAAATATGTATACGATGATATAGTAATCGATGCCAATCAAATGAAAGATTATGTTGTTTATATTCATAATATATTTTTGTTTCACATATATGACGTATTTGATCATATGCATGTGTATGATAATCATATTCAAGTTTAATATAATCATACCATGAATAAATAAAATCAATAAATAAATCTTGTTGACGATCTGTACATATATCTAATGTTGATAAATGATGTGAAAATTGTTCTAATTTACGTCGAGCACAATCTGGTTGATGTGATAAAATAAAAAATTGTGCATTGAGTGCCAGAAAAAATGTAAACCTATGAAATAAGAGAAAGAAAAAAAAAGAGTATATGGAAAATTTTTTTTTGTCGTACGAATAAAGCAAAGAATAAGGAGTATGATATTCATAGATGATTTTATTAAGGATAAAGATAGACGAGCACGACAAGCATAGATAGACTAAGATGACATCGAGCATTTACTTACGGTGTTCATTTGAGATTCTGAAAACAAAAATAATTATCTATCTTGTTGTTATTGATTTATTGAAAGGAATACATATGCTAAAAGAATGAGATTTGTAATAATTAGTTTATTTTCAAGTAGAATTACATAGAATTAGTTTTGCCTCTTTGTCTAAGAAAAATTTTCTTACCACATACTTTTTTTTTTCCATTCTAAGTAGTGTTCTGCATAGGTATGATGTTTTGCATTCGGATCCAGACCGAAGCTAATTGATATTCGACACATACTTTTACAGTCATAATACAGTTTGCAAACTTTTACTTCATATGAAAATTTCAGATCAAAATTCTGGTGTTCGATATGTTTTTTGTAAATACCTTGCGTTAGCTCAAGTAATCACAAACATGTTTACAATTTTCCTCGTCAGTGTAAATCCTTTTAGAACTTTTTCTAGAATAATGTTTCCAATATACAGATAGATAACATTAAAAAAGGCGTAGACCAATAGAAGGTCTTCACTCGAAACATCGAGTCGATGTTCTGGAACTAACTTGAGGATTTAATAATAATCATGTTCGACCATTTAAGTTGAAATCATATACACAGTGTTTTCCTAATGACAGAAGTCCCTCAACTCATTAAGGCCTCCCCCCCCCCCACTCAAAAATCGATCTCAGCCCAGGTACGTTCAAATGGGCTGAAATTTGGAGCATATGTTGGGGCTGATGTGGAGAGGCTGTGATAAAATTTTCAGCTCGATACCACAACGTTTGACTGAGATATTCACCAAACAAGGGCCAAAAATAGGTCATTTTGGGACAAGAATTTCTCAGTCCGGGTCCGTCGAACATATTTAATTTTTTTTTTGTTAGAAAGAGCATGTCAGGATGCAGAGCACCACAGAGTCCTTTTTTTAAGATTCTTAATTTTTTAACGGAGAAAGGAGATCACAAGTTCAATGACTCAAAAAAAGCGCCAAAAATGGGTGTCCAGTTACATAAGTGTCTGTATATATAATGAAAAATAAAGCTTAATTAAAAAAAGGACTCTGTGGTGATCTGCATCTCGACGCGCTCATTCAAACAAAAAAAAAATTTTAATATATTGCCCGAGCCGGGACTGAGAACTTCTTGTCCCAAAATCAAAAAATCATATATCGAGAAAAAACGAAAAACATTTTTTGATTTTTCAAAAAACAGCTGGTTTTTCGAATAGGGGGTGACGAAAATCTTCGAAAATTTTGGACAAAAAGGAGGCATCGAGGAAAACTTTTTATCAGCTATGAAAGAGCAGATCACGGGCTATCTTCCCATGCTGTTATCTCAATTTCGAAAAATTTGACGAAATTTGACTTTTTTTGAGTGGGGGGGAGGCCTTAAGATCTACATGATGCACATTGTTCTGATTCAAAAACAATTAATCAATTGAAAGATTGCTCTTCTATGTGAACATGCATTGAAACCGAACGTTTATGTTCGATCTTTAAGACAGTCATTGTTAATTGATTAATAAGAGAAAACAGAAGTAAACCAAAAGAAAAATATTTTAGGTTTAGTTATGGTAGATCTAAACATAGCGAGTTAAATGATCCAAAAAAATACTCGAACTTAACCAAACCTTAGGGTAATTTCACGATAGCTCATATATCCTAAGAAACGCTTGGTCGACTATTCAAACTATAACCTATGAGATATTGTCTTATGGATTATCCATCATATTTTATCAGAATAATTCAAAATAAATAAATCTCATTGAAACGTTTATTCTTCAAAGTCTAGAAAAAGTGCCAAATAATTTATTTTTTAGTCAAACATGTTCATGATCTACTAAACGTACAAGATCGTCAAAATTATTAACATATAATTAACCTACCATCTTTTCGCATGTAAATAAACTGAAAGTTCTAAACCAACAAGTAAATAATTTTTTGCATTTCGATAAAGACCAATTTCAAAATTAAGTAAAATTAAATATGCTACTTGAGATAGATAAGTTTGAAGTGCATGAAGAACTAATGGAGTTAATTGAAGTTCTATTTGAAAAAAAAATAAAAGAAACTCAAATAAATTCATCGGAAAAGAATCGCTTTCACATACGTGTTAATTCCGGTAGACGATTAACATCGAGAATATCAAGTGATGTACGTAAATCTTGTGCACAATACGATCGACTTTCTTCGATTAAAGCGAGAAAATCATTTCGATCGAAATCTTGTAACTGTTCATCTAATTATAATTTTCAAAAAAAGCGTATTTATAAAATTCATTGATCAAAAATTTTTCTTTTACCATCATTTAATACAAGTTTTGATTGAAGATTATATAAATGTGAACGTACAAAAAAACTATCTGCATATGCACATGATACAATTGGTCGTTGTTCTAATATTTCAAGTGTTTTTTTACATGATAAAAACTAAAAATATAATTTAAATAGATTCTTTCAAAGAAAAAAAAACGAAAAATTGAAATATACATCTTTTATATGTAATGAATTTTCTGCAGTTGTTATTAAATTTAATGCTTCATCAACATCAAATGCTGAAATTTGTGTTGATGATTTTGGATAATCACGAGAGGAAACAGTTATCAAAGGTTTATATCGATCTTCAAGATTAATTGAACATTTATTTGCCAATTGATTACATGCTGTTAATATTGTCATACGACTTGGGTGATTTGATGGTAGAAGATCAAGTAAATAACGATAGATTTCCATTGCGTCAGAATACTAAAAATTATTATATTATAACGTGAGTAATCGGAAAGTTTTTAGACAAGATATTTGTTCGAGAGCAATGAAGTCATATTTATTATGATTTGAAACTAAAGGTTAGGGTCTTTATTTGACCAGGTACGACAATTTTCGCTTTTCTCAAATAAAAAATGAAAAATATATATTTACATATTGAAACAGATCAAATAGTGCGGCTATTGTGTGTACATTTGAATAGAACATATCTATTTCATTTGGATATATAGTTGATACGCGTTTGAGAATTTCAATTGTACATAAAGATGATGATTTCGATTTGATTATATCCCAACTTTTAAATAATGTTGACATAATTGATTTTTCAGAATACTTGCCTAACACTAGAAAAACAAAAGACAGATTTATTATAGTAGAAAATTTTGTCTAGAACGAATAGTGGAAACATTTTGCATTATGTTTACTTCATCCTTTTGTTTTTGTGTTAGAAAATCTAAGCCTCTCTTTACAAGAGAAGCTTCTCTTCGAGGAAGAATGCATTGGACATAATAATAAAAAGGCCGAAAGCTTTGAGATAAAATGTTTGCTTATTTTTGGATTTCTTGAAAGTGTTTTTGATGAGTTCAAAGCTACGGGTTATGATTAGAATTATATGCTCTTTCTGAAATGTAGACTTAAAAATTTTCCAATACACTTTTGTACTTTCATTATTGCATCTCGAAAGTAAATAGAGAAGAAGATACCCTACAAAGTGTACAATTGAACTTTTCTTAAATCTTCATTTTTGCAAAGGAATGCATAAGGATTAGCAAAAGCCTATTGTTTCACCATTAAATTTAATTTTTTGTATACAATATGTTGACCGTAATTTATAGATTTTGACTCCTTTGAAACATTTTCAAAGAACCCAAAAATAAACAAATATATTGCATCAAAGCTTTCGACATGCCAGTTAAAAGATTCGTTTTAATTATTTGGTTTCTCGCAAAATGGAAACTTTAATGAGCGATCGTAAGAAAAATATCGAGATGCGACGATGTAATTTAGTCTGCTGAACTCAAATATGTTATTAATTTTATTGATGAATATTTTTTCATGATTATGACGAATATGAGCCATAAATGATATGGTAGCATCAGCGAACAATGTTTCCTCGCTATTGTTTTTTTAGGTATGGTTCAATAGTGAGCGCTGATGTTCAATGAATTTCTCCAACCACATACTAATGTCGGCGCCAGAAGTAGATGGAGAAAACTCAAGAAGGAATATATCCTGAACGGATGTAGCTAGCGACCTGCGGTTTTCACCATTAGAAAGAAACCGCCCAGGGGCATCCACACATGGTAAAATATAATTGGTCAGCAATGGACCAATGAGATCCATTCTCGATGGAAATGTTGAGCACGGTATTCTGGAGCTGTTTCTCAACNTCATAAATTCCATATTTTGTTAAATTATCATGTGATCCACGTAATGCGAATTTATTTGATATATTTTATTCCAAACGACGTCCACCTATTTTTATTTTACGTAAAAATAAAATAAGAAAATTATCTATTTCTTATTTTATCGGAATTTAATCGCGTGTTTAGCATTTTGAATTTGTTGTTGTCTTAGTTAAATAAATATGTATGTTGTATATTGAAATTATTTAATAAAAGAAGATGTGATGGATTTTTGAATTGATGAAGTATATTACGAATAATTATTTTTTATTGACAGCGAAAGAAATTGTTTGACTAAAACAAAATTTATGTTTGAAAATAGTTCTTAACTAATAAACATAGAATAGATTTGCTATCGTGCGTCTAAGAATAAAGTAAATTTTGATAAAGTTGAATTATCTTTGTCATATTTTAGTTTGACATTCAGCAATAACATTTCGAAATTATTTCTACATATAGGACATAAAAACATTCATTTTCATTTCATCATAGACTTTTCTATCTTGCAACAAAAAGTTCATACAAATAATTAATTGTTATTCAAATCAAATGAAATCCATTTATCTCAATTATCAACAAAAGAAGGGAAATAGCGTTCAATATAGTCAATAACACGATAATCATAAATTTGAATTTAAAATATATTATATTTTAGCCCTAAAGAGGGCTGTTAGGTTTTGCTTATTACTCCGAGAGATTTGGTGAGTTTTTTGGTTAATTAAGATGTTTTGAGAGCGATGTTATTCATCTCATTTTATCTTTTATGGAAAGTTCCGTACATCATCCAATATTGAAAGATATAGTGAGTCATTTAGTCGAGATTGTCGATTCGAAGAATGCATAAGAGTATGATGTGGCGGTGGTTCCATGCCAAAACTATCGTCCATCATAGGTAATAGATCCATATATTGTTGTTGATGATTAGATGGTGGAGAAAATAATGGATCCATATATTGCATTTTAATATAATGTGGAGGTGGTAAATGATGAAGATGCTGTTGTATTGTATTGGATGATAGTGGTGAAGGTAGTAAACATTTTGATGAATATGATGGACCACCAGATTTTGAAATGATCATTCCATTTGAATTTATTGAATCTGATGGATCTAATACACGATGATGAGAATTTATATTGTAAACAAAACGAAAAATTCAAATATTTTTTTTACAAACAAAAAAACATAGTTGTATTTTCATATGTGGTGATAAATTCATAATATCCATTGATGTTGAGATATGTCTTATATTTGGATTTAATATTTGCGTTGATAATTGATTAATTGATGAATTATATGATATTCCATTATCTGTTTCATACGTTCGATTTAAATTTAATTCTTCGTTATCCATATTTGAAGAAAAAAAAAACATGAAAATAATGATAAAATTTTTTAAAACAATTATACCAAATCTATCCAATTCATTATAATACATTTGTGTTTATGATGTTGTTAAGTGTAGTTCATCTAAATTTCCATGGAACTTTTGATTAATTGATGATGGTACAGTATATGGAATGAATTGTTCGGATTGACCAACATTATATAAATATAGTGTTGTGGAAGAGTTCATTTTAGATGAAAATAACCTGCCATTGGATCTTAAATTATCTTCAGTTGATGTTGTAGCAATGGAAGATGTTAATGATTATGATGATGAAGATGGTAACATTTGATTTATTCGATTGACGACAAAAATCAACTTTTTCTTAAATTTTTCTTCATTTTTAAAACTATAAAAGAAAAATAGAATATTTTTTTTTACAAGAACAACATCTTACCGATAGGAACTTTCGACTTTTTGTACATGATCATTAATAAAACATGATATTTTTTTTAATTTAATTCTAATTGATTATTCTAAAATTAGTGAATTAATTTTTTTAATTCTATATCATATAAACATACTTGATCTATTTTCTTCTTCATTGTTGTTTCTATGTGTATATTCTTATATATATAATTGATCATCTACGATCGATTGGTACCAGCTGCTAATTCCAATGAATTATGTTCCATCTTCAAGGTTGAAAATAAAAGCATAATAAAATTTTTTTGTTTTTTTTTCATACTCTTTTCTCTCGATAATGAAAATTCAATTGTTTCCAATATCGATTGTAAGTGATGAAATATACATTCAAGCATTTCCTTTTCTTCTTGCTGTTTTTTTTTTAAGTCATATTTTATATCCAAATCTAAAATAAAAAGCAGATGATATGCACAAATAGCTGCACAATAACATCCTTTTCTTTTCTTCTTTTATAATTTTTATCTTGAATATAAGCAACTGAATGATTTTAATATAATAAATATAATGGAGGATTTTCTTCATAAGTATTTTCAATAAATTTAATTGTATTATTCAACAGCTAATAATAATTCATTATTTGAATAGTATAACTGAATGACCTGGTTTTTCTTCGTCGAAAAAGTATATAAATTTTAACACCCTTGTTCGTATAAAATTCTTTCTTTCTTTCTCGACTAAAACGAATAGATAATATGAATAATGAACGAACTAATAATAACGAAATTATAAAGAATACGAAAAGATACAAAAGAAACGAACGAATTTATATCAGATATCGCCAATTAACAATCAAATAGAAACAAAAAAAAATTTCTATCGATATGATATCTTTTGAGAAAACATTTATTTTAGATACGATCTAAATCGAAAAGTTCAATTAGTTGATCCAAATAGTTTAAATATAGTTAGAAACAATATCATTGAAACATTTATTCAGAAGAAAATAAATGTTTAAACATGGAATAATTAGTTCATTGTCTATAAGAGGAAATATTTTTGTTTATGTTCAATAAAATTATAACAAAGAAAAGAACTCTATGATTTCATGTCAAAGGTTTATTTTTCATCTCAAACACATCATCATTTGTTTTTCCTGTAGTAATAACAACAATTGTAATCAGTTAAATGAATATAATTGCAAAAGCATGGAAAAAAAATTTATTGAAAAATAATAAATATTAGCTTTCATACAATTAAATCAATTGATTTTATCAACTTTATAGTTTCCTATTATAATAGCTGTAATATGTTCTGAATCACCTTGATTTCGTGAATTACGTTTTATTGTATATGAAAATTGTATAGATACTGTTACATTTGATCGTAAATTACTTACAATAATATCATATATCGGATCATTTATTTCCCATAAATTAACACTTGCAAATAAATTTACATAACGTATATCATCTCGATTGAAATCACGAAATATGCATAAGCAGTATCCTAGACAAAAATATAATAAGAAGATTAATTAATTTAAATATTTAAAAAATTCATTATTCCAATTCTTGCTTCTATATCTGACGAATAAATTGATGTACATAAATTATTATAATCAGCATCTATATATTCAACTAAATCAATATCTGTTGCTGTCATTTCATATATTGGCTATATAAAAATAAAATAAAAAAAAATATTCTTACTAAATATCACCTAATTTAATTTTAACCTTTACTTCTATTAGTGGATTTGGTTGATAAAATAATGAAATAAACATAAATAAAATACATAATGGAAACAATATCAATAAAATTGATAAGATTAATAATGAATCATCAATACAATATTTTGTTGCTTTTGACCATGGTACACCACTTTCAGTTGAATATTTCTTTAAAGAAAAAAAGAAAGAATATTAAAATACTAGCGAGAACCCGTGCATACTGCACGGCTGTTTTGTCTCCTTTAACGTATGGCCTCAACGCTTTGACCTTTTACCCAGTAAGAGCATGCGAACTCTCGCCATTATGTATATAGATAGTCCTACGGCCTTAAACCCTTTATATTGCACATATTTTTATAGTCCATGTAGCCTTCGGCCTTATGGCCTTATATCACTTGTAGCTTTATTCAACCTTTAACTCTTGACCCGGCACAGACACACACTGAACATTATATATATAGAAGTTTTCATTAATTTGCTTTTGTTTTCTATTTACTTCTTTTGCCCATCTTGCACATTTAATTAAATAGACATTAGAATAAATATCTTCTAATTTTATACAACTCATTAAATCAAGGGTTGCATCTATAAACATCCAATCGATCATTGTTTGTAATCCACGTAAAAATAATATGCATAAATAACTGAAAAAAAATAAGCAGCGAATAAATTTATTTATTTAATAATAAAATATTTACATTTGATATAAACCTTGATTAACATAATTAAAACATTTCATAAGAAAATTTCCTACAATACATTTTGAATATCCTAACCGTATTTGTATTGATGAATAACCAAAATAAATACATTTAAATATGTACCAAAATTGAGCAGCCACATTATCACGAAATTTCCTTTACATAAAAAAAAACAAAAATTCGAATTGAATATAATATATATTTAAAAATAAATAAATTAAAAAAAAATCTTACGTTCGAATTACTTCGGGTAAAACAAAAAAAAACCATATATGTACAGCAATAATTTGAAATAATCGAAAATATAATTTATCATGTACATTACGACATAAATAAAGTGTTTGATCAATTATAATTAATATTAATTGTAGAAATAATGTAACAAGAAAACCTACAGATACCTTCAAAAAAACAAAAGTATTTTTGTTAAAAAAAAATTAAATAGACATTAAATATTTTCTACTTTAATTTCTTTTATGGTTGTTATAATATTTCTAGCAGATCGTTCCTAAACAATAGAAATATTCAAGATAAAAAAAAAAGAAAAAGATAAAGGGGATAAAGTGAAAATAATATATAAGTCCATTCCATGGGAGAGGGGAGAATCTTTTTTTTTTATTATTATTAATTTAATACTCAAAGAGATTCAATCACTATATGTGATTTATTATCATAGACTTTTTAGTTAACTGCAAAAAAGAATAAAATTAATATTTAAATATACATACACCAAATTGACTATAAAAAGGAATAGCAATAATCATACTAATTTAAATCACAGAAAAACATTAATGCATAAACATCACGAAGAAATAATGTTTGTTGTTGAAGTTGACGATGAAATTGTATTCTTGGTTTCATGAAATAACTATAGCTAGAAAGAAAAATATTTTATTTTATTTAAATGTATCATTATTATTGTTATAAGAACCAGTCCATATAAGCCACGACCGATTTCATAGAGACCCTGCTCAATCGATGTCGTCAGATTTTGCTCAATTTAAGATATATTGTAGAGGGAAGAGTTTTATGAATTTTGGCGCAAGCCGATTCAAAAAAATATTGATTCCTCGGTTTTTTATGAGCATTTTACGAAAAGGCCTAAAAATGACCCTATATCCAAATGGGGGTCCTAATACAACGATATCTTACAAATGGCTCAACCAAATGAGCTGTATATAGTAGCTTGTATTCATTGTCATAAACATCTGTTTATTTGTCTTATTTTGTTCTGAATATCATTATGAGCAACATGCCTAAAATTACTTTCTCTGAAAGCAATAAAGGCAAGCGTATACTTATCTGTAATGGTTTTATGTATCAAGGTGAAGTACTGGCGGTGTGAAAACCGTCTCTACTCTGCTATTATTCACACTGATGTCAATGACCAATTCAAGGTACGAAAAGGTGATCACTCAAGCCATTTATCTTCACCAGAACACATTGAACTTCTTAAATTTAAATCAAATGTAAAACAACGTATAATTGCAGAAGCTACACCAATTAGCCGTATTTACGACGAGGAACTAGCCAAAGCTCAATTAAGTCAAACTGCTCTAAGTATAGTTTCATCAGCTCAAGATGCAAGTGTATAATTGTTTTTTTTATCATTCTTGATCTGATCTGGCATCTTTTAGAGTCATCACTAAATCGAATTCGTCGTCGTGAAACTCCTGTTCTACCAAAATCATGCCATTTCGATATTCCTACTCTTTTTGCTCAAACACTCAACGGCGAACGCTTCCTACTTTATGATAAAATGCGACGAAATAAAAGAATCGTTATATTTGCTACTGATGATCAACTGCGTATACTTTTTAAAGCAAAACGCATATTAATGTATGACGCATTTTCATCATGCCCACCATTCCTCGATCAAATATACACACTTCATGCTATTAAATACGAACAGAGTGAGTTAATGATACCTTGCATTTTTTTTGCATTCTAATGAATTATCTAAAGGTTTTCCATATGCCTTCGCACTTCTTACTGGTCGTCCTGGTTCGGTCTACAAAGAATTGTTTAAACAACTAGAAGAAGAGGCCGAGCGCCTTCAAATGCAGTTTTTACCTAATCAAATTACGACGGATTCTGAACAGGCTCTTGTGAAACAATTACGAGAATAGATACGAATTTCTTAAAGATATTATTGCCTCATCATTTACTTTCTAGTTTACTGGTGTTCGTCACACCGGATGCTTTTTCCACTTCTGTCAAGCCATTTACAGAAAGATTTAGGAACTTGGTCTTTGTATTACATACAAAGATGATAGGAATGTTCGGAATATTTCTCGACGTCTGATGGCTTTACCTCTTCTTCCACTAAATGAAGTGGAATTTGCATTTGAAGAACTTGCCGAACAACGTCCGGACGTTCTTATACCACTTTTCGACTATTCTAATAATTATTGGATGAAACAAATATCTATGTCTTTATGGAACGTTTCTGATTTAAAAACGCGTACTAATAACAACTGCGAAGGTGAGATCTCACTTCTCTGTTTTTTTATAATCCCATTCTCTGTTGTAGGCTGGTAGAACCGATTCAATCGTCGTGTCAATAAGATGCATCCTAACATATGGCATTTTATCGATGTCATAAAGAGAGAAGACGTCCATTTCCAACAACAACTTCTTCATGCTAAAAGTGGCTCGCTCAAGAAAAAGTCGAAAAGAACATGCATCATTCAAGAACGCCTTTAAGTCTTAGCTGCTCATTTTGCTAATAATAATATTGATCTGAATGAATATCTTGAAGGTCTTTCAATGATCGTTGCAAAAGATAAAACAAAAAAAACTTCACAACTGAACTAAATAGTTTTTTCAATTTTACATTATATGACTGCTGATATCTTTTTTTCTTGTCTTGGAATACTGTTAGTCTTCATATAAATTTTTTTGTTTTGATTTATTATCTGTATAAAATTTGTATCCTTCATTTTCTTGATAGCGTGCAACTTGTTCTTATTTTTCGACTAAATATTTATGAACATAATAGATGATTCAATTTTTACTATCGTAATTTTCGACATTTTACCACTTTACCGCTAAAGTCAATACCATCATTTTTCGATCAACGCACGATGAAGCTCTACAAGCTATACTTCGTTGATCAGCGGCACTGATCGAAAATAGTAGTGTAAAAGTCATGGGTTACACATATTTACAGAATGGGACAACCGATGATAGAACTCATTGATCAAAAACAAGTTACTACAGAAATTTGTTTTCCATTTATTAAAGCACTCGAACAGAGATTTATCGATAATAAAGAAACAACAAGTCAAATGATGAGAGCATTCTTCTTTGTAAGAAAGATTCTATAAAATATTGTGTAACCGAAAATTATTTACATTTAGAGCTTAGCAATACAATTAGAAAAATATTTTAAAATTCTTAAAAATTTTCCACACAAAGTTCATCGTCAATTGGCTTCGTTTATTCTAATTGCACTTCAACATCGACATCAAAATGAAAATGAACAAATGCCATTCGAACATATTATAACAATAATTCTTTGATTTAAAATTGCACAATGTCTATCCTGACAGATGTCCTAATTTAATTAGACTAGAAGGAATATCTTAATCTCCGTTTAGTGTCGGAGTGTATCATCACCGACACTAACAAAATAATATAACCTTAAAGATAAATATTTTTTCTATTTGTTTTGAATATGATTCATTTTCTTTTTTAGTTTTTCAAATTAATCGTTTGAGGAACAGTATGAGATGGTTACATTCTACTAACATTGTTATTGAAAATAATGCTACTGCATTGATTTGTACTTTAATACTTTCATCTATTGTTTGTAAACTATACAGATATTATTTTTCATAAAGACACTATTAGTCATATAAAAAAAAACACGATGATACGTTCTGTTAAAGTCTAGATTTTTGGACTTGAATGTCGGATGAAAAGATCTGATTAGTTATTAGCAGTAAATAATAACGTACAATCAATCATATTCTTCAGTTATGATTCTACTTCGGTGAAAATTGATGTCGATGATTTACTATTATTCCATAATTTTCATAAATACGTAATGTGATTTTCAATATGATATTTATTAATGAGAATAAATACACAACAAGTAAATGAAAGTAAAGCATATGTCTATAAGAGAACATCTTATTGTTCAATCATGATCGAGTAGTTATTGTACCAACACGTTGACCTGTTGTTCCAGTTTGTAATGCTATTTGTTGTGATGTAACATGATTTTGTCTTTTAAAGCATAATGCAGTTCGTACATTTCGTCTGTATGCTGGAGATACGATTATATAGACGTAGAACGTTCCTACATTCATTGTAAAGCTTATAACAACGCTTACATTTGTCCAAAGATTTTCTTTTGCCAATCTTAACTGAGATTTTATCACTGACATAGTAATTTGTGAATAGATGTTATATATGAAATTGGGTAATGTGGTAATAAAAGCCATTGCAAATTCAGCGAGCATCATTCGATTAACTTGTTGTTGCAGGTGATTGTACCGGGTGTGTCTTGTTGACCAGAGATTATACCATGTAAGCATACTAAACGTGCCGAGAGCGACCAATGACGTAATATTGGTGACAATCAAGTTAAAATATGTGATGAAATTTGTGTATATAGCACGTTCATTGGCTGATGCCGTACACGAATATCCCGAATAGTAAATGCCGTCTGGAATACAGATCGCGAAATAAACCATACTGAATATGATCACAAGTATATAAGCTCGTTGCACGGTAAAGAGACGACGAAGTCGTGCATTGCGTGAAGTATGTAGAAAACGATCAATACTTGCTAAACAAAGACATGTGAATGGCATATTGAGACCCCAACGTCCAAATAGCCATCGAACTTTACAATAGACTATTGAACCAACTAGTAGATCAATACCGGTAATAGTGAGTATGCAACGGGGAAAACGGGATGACCATAATAATACTAGACTACCTGTGAATGAGCCGATTAAAAAAACAGAATTTGACATATGACGAAGTGCTTTGAGACGAGTGAAGACAAAAATATTCAGTATATTTCCTACTGTCCCCACAACAATCAGAACAAGCATCAAGTAACCATTAAAAAAGTTTGTGATAGATTGAAGAAGAAGAATTTCCCCATTGACCGAGATATTTGCCATCACTGAAATCTGAAATTTTTCGATGTAATTGAAAAATGTAACTTAGAGTTGCTACTTTAATAATATGAAACAGTATTTTTTTTTCATTAAGATAGTTGAGATAGATGATAATCTGTGTCGTTTCATATGATAATTAGCATATGATGCTAGTTAATCTGCTTAAATCTCTGTAAATGATGATAGTCTCAAATAGAAATAAGTCTGCGAAAAACAAGAAGTTGTGATAATGACATAACCTACTTATTTTCATAAAGATATCATCAACACGAACATTCTTATTGACAAAAATAGCTACCATATTTTCATCAAAATAAAAAAATGCAAATATATCTCGTATGCTCTTCTACTAACATGCATGGTTTAATTCTATTTCAGATCTTTTATAAGTATTGTAACGGAAGAAAAATCACAAAATTCCAACAGATTTGAACACTGTAAAATGATCAGAAAAGAGTTCAGAACTCGAGCCTTTCTGCATATATAGCAAATTTGATCTGTAAAGCATCCTTTATTATAATTAAATATCAATCCCAATATATTCGATATACAGCCCTCGAAAAAAGTTCTGGGAAACTCGAAAACAGTTTTAATCATATGTTTAGCACTGTTATTCATTAAACTTTGATATTTTATAGATCAAATGGATTATTATCTTTTGATTCTGGCAGAACAGTATCAAACATAAAATCTCCAGCAGCAAAAAACGTTTCGACCACTCTCAGTAAATCGATGATGTCTAAAACAAAATTATATGAAGTTATTGATAAAATTATGTCATTTTACAGATGAAGATTAGAACTCTAATCTGAAAAAGATATTTTTACATGATTCAATACAATTCGATAAGCTCTACAAGAATATGAATGTTTAAAAAAGTTTCGATCTTATTTTCAATATAAAACTTGAAGGAAACTAGAAAGACTAAGAAAAATTTAATGTATCAAATATTTAAGAGAGTTAGTTGAGCTTTCAAAAGTTTTAGCTAGTTGACTGTTCTATCTATTCAGGCTACTCAGGAGAGTTATTTTAAGCTTCAGTATGTAACACTTCATCTCAAAACATCAATTAACAGTCGATCAGCTAAAGTTTTTGAATGTTAAGCATTACCATCTGATTCAAGGTATGTAAGATTCTTATTGGTCTGCTTGGTTTATTTTGAGTTTCATATTGGAAACAAGGTTCAAATTTTTCTTGATATTCATATTCTTGTAGAGCTTGTTGAACTCTATCGAATCATATAAAGATATCTATTAAGAACATGTAGAAAATAATATGTGGCTCTACTTTAACGACTCACACATTAAAAGTTTTTTTTGTTGCGTTTCAAAAAGTGTAACGTAAAAATTTTCACTCAAGATTACTAAAATGCCCATAAAATTATAATAAATCTATGTATCTCGAACTAGGTTTTTTTAGATGATAGCTCTAATCTTTCTCTATAAAATGATATAATTTGATCAATAACTTCATATAAGATTGTTATAGATATCATCAATTTACTAAGAGGGATCGAAACTTTTGAATCACCCATTAATTTTTAGATTAGAGACCACGAAAAAAACCGTTTTTTCAATAATTAATTGCTGCTCCAATAAATGTGTACTAGATGCGGTATCTTAACTTTTTTGCCTATTTAAGTACAGAAAATTTTAATTTAAGTTCTAAATTCAAATTAAATAACTATTTTTTACTTTTCTTTTTTTACTTTGAATGAAATTTTTAATCATATCAATGTGCAGATTAATTTCATGGAATTTACGTTTTAAAGAAATCAATGGAAATTGACGCAAATAAATTTAAAGAATTGACCTTTTTTTGTATACGATTATATGCATTTTGTTTCGTCTGTTACATTTGATTCTTTCATCTAAGCTCCTTTATATGAAGAAACAGAAATATCTTAGACTTTAACACATGCAAACATAATATGTATAATAAATGCGTTGATAAGCAACCCAGATAAAAAATTTGTTGAACATGAACACATCTAAATGCACGATGGCAATAGTATCTTGATGCACGTTTTGTGTCCTGATTGCATTTAGACGCAGCTCTGTTTCAAGTTGTGTTTGAAAGCAACTCTACCATTGTGTCTGAGCTGTATCTAAATTCTTTCGATTCTTCTATTTCTTATCTGTTTGTATCCCTAATAGATTTAAATGAAAACTAATTTTGAACTTCATGTTTGAGTTAAAGTAAATATTTTTCCTTAACATTCAAATTTTATTTATTTTGAAATTTAACGTGCTACGTTGAACGTATATGCTATACGAGAGCAAAATTGATTTCATGACAAAGAGTGTTGGGTGAGAAATAAGAAAATAATATTGTTTTAATACTGTTTTCGAATGAATATCCTGTACATGTCAAAAGTTGATACGTATTCTCATTTATTTCTACTTCACAGATTAACTAAGTTTTCAAAAATTTGTATGAGAGATACAAAGATGATAAGATTTCTGGTATACAACTATTTGCTCTTATCGTCTATGCTTCATGCAATGCTAGTCACTGATATAATGCAGTAAGACTTTAATACGTCGTCTAAATAATTTAATATCTAATTTTCATACTTTTTTTGAATGAAAAACGCGTTGTTCAGTTTACTGTTTCAGATCTAGTCAAGTATACTTTGACGAAATAGTCTGCATTAATAATGGCACCATATGCACCAACAGCTAGAAACGCATTCAAATGCATCTTATTTATACAAGTGGTGGAAAAACCTGCATTTACACACGTTTCTGGAACTGAAAAGTATTAGTTGCGTAAAGAGTAAGCGCATTTGGATGCAAAAGTAAAACCAATCGCGTTGAAACGCATTTAAAAACTAATTTGAACCAGTTATAATGCATTTTAATCTTGAAACGCGTCCGTATGCAGGCCAGAATTTGTAATACGTTGAAACACCCATAGAGAAAACGCATTTCAGTGCGTTTGGACGCTGTTTCAATTCCAGATGCATTTATAAGCGTCAAAAATGCTTTTTATGGTTACATGGGACACTCCACACCGACCCTATACCCACACTCACATCCTCACCGACACCCCAGCAACATATAAGTGCGACACGTTTTATTTTAGTGTATGACAAAAAAAGGAATAAACAGTTGCGCTACCTTTTCAACTATTAATCACGCTGTCGACTTAAAAACGTGAATTCGTTCTTCGTACATTTTTTTCAACTGATTACAAATATTCAAGAAAAGCTCATCGATTCAGATATCCTTACGAAGATGCTTGTGATAATGAATTTCGAAATAGCTGATAGTGTAAATAATATCGTTGCATGCCGGATGATCATCGGGAAACAGTTTTCTACCAGTTCTGATAGTTAGTGCGTAATAGTAGGCTGCTTGATATATTTCTTGTTGATGCCATACTAAAGTTAACTTCTGTCAATATGTTATGCTCTTCATTTTGTTGCAGAGCAAGATTGAGTGATTCAGTCAACATATTCAAAGACATATTCCAATCTTGTTGACGATGGTAGTTCAAAGCTGTATTGTGGGATACAATTGCCATCGCGTATTCCAGCTTTTCTTTAATTATTATATCCGATGCTTTGTATTCATTGTAAATATTCTGGGCGTCATCAAAATATTTCATCGCCATAGAATAGTTTTTCTGTCTGGAATACGTCGAAATTAGCATTCAAAGTAAGCCGAGACGTTGCGTAATGTCAGTTTTCAGAGTTTGTTGAAGGTTTTTTTCTAGCTTTGGTATAATGCCATCTTGAATATTGGCATTGTCAAGCCAAACCTTTGTCGAAGTAACTGATATCGAACAGTTGTAATCTCCAGCTGCAGCGTCTCCTGGGGAAATATGCTAGGAGCCGTTGCATTTTCCGTCTTGGTCCTAGGCTAAAAATCAATAACAAATTTTCATTGGATGATTCTGAGAGATGTCGATACGGGAGATGCCGCATCTCCCTACACTTCTCCAGCATTCCCAATTTCCTGGATATGTGACACTGCTGTCATTGAGTGCCTTCTGTGCCATTTGTAAGGCCTTTGTGGTGTTGTCTAGCTGAAGTTGAGCACATGCAAGGCTATATTGATATGTAACAACAAGCGAATAACTGTGAGCGTAGCAATATTCTTAAGGCTTTTTCTTTATGATACAGAGCTTTCGAGAAATTACCTATGTCAGCTAGAATCTCACCGATTTAATGATGTGAACTTGCCAGTGATTCATGATCAGCATGTAGTATTCGACTGTCAATTTCCAAAACTTTTTCACGCATTTCTAATGCTTTGTTTAATTCTCTTTTTTCGAAGTAAATGCTTTCTAAATTATGATAGATAGCAGCAAGAGCATTGTGAGTCGAGATGCTACCTATAAAACGTATTTCCAATGTATGTTGAAGATATTTTGAAGCATTCTCATTATCGCCCAAATGTGAATAGATTTCTTCAATGTTATTATATGCTGTGACTAGTTTTGGATGATACTTTGCTATTTTCAAAACATTTTCGTCAATGTCTAATGCTTTTAAACAGTATTTTAATGCTTAATCGAGTTGGTTAAGGGGACGATAAGCTGCATCAATATGAACGTATGTGTTAGCGATGTTATGTCGATTATTGTTCATAAAGTTTCGTTGTGTCCAAAATTGTAACGCTTGCTCTTAGAACTCTAGTGCTCTTTTGTAATCTCCTCGGTTTGCACATATAATTCCCAAACAATTATGTATGTAACCAAAAGATGGATTTGACACGGGCGTATATTCCAATTACATTCGAAAATATCTTTCTGCTCGGTCATAATCACACATCCCTATTAAAGCATAGCCATAGTCACACAGATTGCCGTGCTTTGAATATTGTTGTTCGAGTTGATTTCGCAGTTCATTGTTCTTTGGAAAAATGACACCCACGCACATCTTTAATAAAAACAAGTTTTGTATAGATATTCTTCGACAGCCAAGAGAATTTTATAAAAAAAAAAAGAATAAATTCAACAAACGATATATAAACTGTTAGAAAATCGAATTCTTCATTCATATATATATATGGAAACAGAAAGTTGTGGTGCTCAATTGGTCTAAAAATTGCAAGGAGAACAAACCTTTTGTTCACCACTTTTCGAAATCTATCGAATTTGCAAGATAAATGAAATAATAACTACAAGTTTCTATAGAAGCGTCAATGAGCTATACAGCCATATCAGAAAATATGATGTTTGACACTTTATTTAAATATAAAAAACATGACAAAACTGTCCAACATAACCAAATCCACTTGTTGAAATAAAAAAAAGATAATAAATACTTTAGAAATATTGAATTTTCAAAAGAAGTTATAAAATATCTAAAATCTGGTAATAAATACAGCAAAAATTCTTTAAATAGTTTGAAACAACAAGACTTGTAATGAATAATGAACACGTATTTCCGTGCAGCAAGTTTTATGGATAATTAATTGTTATAGCAATTACAAATATGGTTCTCAATTCGAAGATTAAAAAGTGCAATATTTTGATTAAAAAAATTAGATAATGCTTTCTTGAAAAACTAATAAGAAGACACTAAGAACACTTTCTAAAATAATTCCAGACAGATAAAGAAAAAATCTCAGAAAAAATATTTTTTGTCAACAAAATTGATATGATTATATGGGGAAAAGCAAAATTTCGTCATTTTCACAATAAACTAAACTTGAAATTCATGAAAAAAAAAAAATCTTAGCTTTGCGCGATATAGTCTACGAATGTAAACATATGCGCAATCAATAATAGATTTCTGTTAAATGACAATTTGTAACATTAAAAAATGATTATCATGTTACAATCATGACAGATAATTAAACTAACAAAATTAATCATAATCGACGTCAGCATCGAACAATATGAAGTGAAGAATTTTCACTTTAGATTATCATGTCATTTATCATTCAAGATAAGCCTTTGACTGGCAGTCAAATAATAAGAAATCTTAAGCTGAGAAAGAATATGCGCATCTACAGAAAAGTTAGAGAGCTGTCATAATTAACTTAAATAGTTCGCAGTCGGTTAAAATATTCATTTCACTAGAAAATACGATATCAATTTTTCTTTAGAGTGAGTACATCGAATAGATTCTCTTTGACTGCTCTTTTTAATATTTTTCTGAGATTCTCTTGCTTTTCCGTACCCCCATTGTCGTTCGATGCACACATTTTTTAAGAAAAATAATGCTAGAAAAGCATCAATGATGACATAAATGAAAATTTAGTAAGGATCTTCTAAAATTAGTGTTATCTTTGGTAGAATATATATATATATATATGTATATATCTGAGAAGCACTACATCATGTCACCATCATGATCTGCTACGAAAACAATTTAAATTTTTTCCGTCAGTGAATTTGTTACCTACGATTGTTAGAAGAAGTACACACGGTAAGAAAAATTTGACCAAAAATGTAATCTCTCGAACAGATTTCCATGTGATCAAGCATTCCTCATGCAGCTTTTCTTTATAGATCTGCTCATTGCTTGAAGCAAGAAAATATTCAAAATTAACATATATTATACAATGTCGAGTATTAATACAACAGTTATAACAACAACTGGTCCATCACGAGATGCTTTGATTGTCGGCTACTATTCATTAACTTTGATTATCGTTGGCACCTTATTCAATATTATAACGTTGTTTATTCTCTGTCGATCAAAATTTAAAAGTGCTAGAGCAAGACCAACACTTCATTATATGCGTACAATGGCTATATTTGATATCCTAATGTTATATGGATGGAATCTCGATCATTATCTCAAAAACATATATCAAATTCGTATAGTAACCTCTTCTTTAATATCCTGCAAAATTATTTCTTTTCTCAGTTTTTTCGCACCTCAATCATCAGCTTGGCTCCGTGTCTTTGTTTGCTTGGATCGATATTTATCATTAAGTCGTCTTCATCGAACATGGTTTGGTCAATCTAAAAATGTTCTTATCATAATTGCATGCATTCTATGCATCCTTCTTCTTCTCAACTTTCATTTTTTCCTTTTCGTTTGTTACTATAAAGCAAATGGTACGATCACCGTTTATTCTTGGTTATATAGTGTTTATCCACTATGGGATAATGTTAATTTTGCAGTGTATAATTGTGCACCGTTTATATTCATGGTTATATTCAATAGTGGTGTAATTCATCATTTAATTCGTCTTAGACGTACTACAACCATTCGAAACTCTCAAATTCAACATCGATCTATTTCAATTACACTGGTTATTACAACATTTCTCTTCTTAGTTATGACTGTACCGTCAAACGTAGCTTTTTCATTTTTTCCCTCATCAGACAATACTCTTTTGTGGCTCTTCGATTGCCTCGTTTACTCCTATCATGCATTATCTTTTCCACTGTATATGATTACATTTGATGAATTTCGAGAAAATTTTTTCGAAATGATTCCATGTAAGAGAAACAATCGAAGAGTTGCACCGCTAACACGAACTGGTACTATACCGCCGACATTCGCTATAACAAAAACTATGACCAATACTTGAAACCATTGTTTCATCCCTGCTGACCTTTTATGATGAAATCAAACATTTCCTCGTTGTACCATTATATATCTATGTAGTTTGCTTTCTGTGCTTCGATCTCTTATGCCGTCACTAAATTCTACTGCTACGCTTGTAAGTGAAAATATACGAGTCTTTTGCAAGTCACGTGAAAGCTTATTATGTATTGCATTCAGTGTTTAATAAAATTTAAAAAATAATAAAAGCTTGTTTCGACTGAAAAGAAAAAAGCATCTTTACCGTGTCAATATTCACGTAGAACATATCTGTACGCATATTTGTTTAAAGCTTTGAAATCTATTGTACATCGGTATCTATCATTTCCACACTATGAGATAAATATGGTCATTTGTACTTTCATCCTTCCTTTATTCAAATAAGCAGTGAACTGAATATAAAGTAGAAATATATTTTTGTTTTTTTCAATATCATGATTTTGCCGAAACATACTGCAATGAAAAAGCTCACATTATAATATGATAAATATTCAGAAAGAAACGAGGTTTTCGTATAATCTAGTCAGTGATGGATCCACGATTTTAGCAAGGGAATACCCATGTCATCTATTGTTTTACAACTGCGACGCAGATAAACGTAAATGCACCGCAGTACTTGTATCATACGTCTCAATGTATCTGATACAAACCAATCATAAACTGTTTTGGCTTAGTTGTAATTGGTCATACTCTAGTAAAATCCATAGAGTATGCAGCTTAAATTCAGCTTTTTAGAATGAAAAGGTTGTCTACAAAGTCTTCGGGGATCATGCAATCGAATCCGAGATCAAATTTTTATTGTATTAACTTTTTTATTGTGAACTTTCAATTTTTTTAATCTTAGGTTTTTAAAATTTATTTTATTCTATTTTAATTATCTTATTTTAGGCTGGTTTTTAAATTTTTTAATTAAAATTTTAAATTTTAGCTTCTATATTTCTTTACCAGTCTTTCGTTTTTTATTGTCAATTACTAATAATTCGTAATAAAAATGTCAAAATAAAAAATCTAACTTCTAATTTGGATTCCTAAACAATGCTGTTTTTAGTAACTGTAATCGTACTGAGATCCGCAATCTGAAAAAACTGCGACCTTTCCACTGCAATTATGCGTAATTGTGTCGCAGTTCGATTCTAATCGAACACATAGGTGTTGACTTTCAGACGGTCTTTTTTGAAATAGTGCAATGAAAAAAGAACTGCTTTTTATACCAGCAAGACTGCTTAAATTGTGAAAAATTAGCCTTCCTGATATGTTCGTATAAACCTATTAGTTTACTTATTGAAATCAACTTCTTTTATTGGATATGTTTAACGATAGGATAGAACTTAGTTTTCTACGTTATCATTGTTGACCTTCAGAGATCGTACGAAATGTTTTCTTTTTCTTAAGATATGCGCTAAGCAATAAAAGAAAATGTATGATGAGAAAATAAATTGTCCTATTCATACTATTTTACAAGTAACGAGCAAGCGTTGTTGAAAATCAATTTCATTTGATTTCATCAATTAGGACTAATAAACAAACTTAGTCTTGCAACAAGAACAGCCAAACAATGTGTTGCATCTAGTTTTTTTTCTATCACTGTTGTATTTATGAATATTATCATCATAAACAAGCTCATAATGTCAAAATGAAACTTTTTGTTAGAGGAAGTGTAAATTCGTAAAATAGAAATAATTCATCAATATATCTCTTATTTAATATTATATCATGTATGATATCAGTCAAGATGTATTTTGGTCTACTTGGCAGAAATATTTCACGCGAAAACTTATCGACACTTTGCTCGTATTTTTTAAGCATAAAAATTAATCAATATTTATCATTTGTTCACATTAAGNGACATTTTTTTCGGGATTTCTGTTTCTGTTCCTTTCTCCTTTATTCAGATGAACACCCCACACCCACACCCACACCCCACACCCACACACCCACACCCACACCGACACCCACACCCCTTATCTACACATACAAGTGTCAAATATATACTTCTGATTCGTTGAAAAAAATAGAATATGTAGATAAAATAGACTTGACTTTCATATCTTTCAATATTTCTTTAACTTGCATTGAGTTCTTATACACAACTCTACATTTGAATAGTTTGCTTTCAAATAAATAACTAAACCTTAAAAAAACAAAGATAAGACAAGATGATGCACATAGAAGGTATTGGTGTATGGTAGGAAGTAGAAGTATTGAAGTCTATGTAGTTAGTGTCCTAGAACGTACATACACATCAAAACCAATTATCCAGTTTCACACTATTAAACTTGTAAGACAATAAGAAGTGCAAGATGAATATTCATTTAGAGATATGATCTTTCAAACAAGCTATTCAATGAAACTTCGAAACAAAACTCGATTCAATGTTATAATGTATTATTATTTGACAGAACAGAATAGCTAATTGGAACATCGATATTGAAGCATACATTCACTGAATCATTTTTATTGTTTCAGAATATTATAGATGCCTTACCTAAGTTTGCCCACACATAAGAATTAGAATGTAATTATTTGAAAGATATTAGCCTTGTTTTGGGTGGGAGTCTGGGGCGTTCATCTGAATAAAGGAGAAAGGAACAGAAACAGAAATCCCGAAAAAAATGTCGAACACCGCAATTTCGAACTTTCTGGAGGAGACACGAGATGCCAAGTTCAAGATAAGAGCATTGAATTTTCCGATACGTTTTCATGTAAACATAACCCGAAAAATGAACAGTTATAATGTAGCAAAATGAAGACATCCATCATTGGTTATTATAGCAAAGATACAAATGTTTGAAATCAAGTGTTGAGTCTTTCGACATTGCCACTTTTGGAAAGAGAAATAAAAAAAAAAGAATTGGCGGCTAGATTAAAAATAATCTATATACTGTGATATATGAGACGAAATGACATAGAATGAAAAATAAGAAAAAACGCAAGTTTGTTAGATTGTAGTTATCAATGGTATGTTTCAGTTCAGACTGTGGCAGGATCGAAATGATGTTTGTAATCATTCAAAGTAGTGATATAGTCGACAAACTTCTCTTTCGGCACACTGGAAATGAAGTAAGATAAATGATGAGAATAGAAAAAGTAAAAACACATACTTACCGATCACTACCATCATCCAGTTTGCTCCAATGCGATTCCCAACTATTAGTTACCGGTTTTGACGTGTCAGCGGATGTTGTGCCTTTCGAATTTATCCAACTAGAACAAGAAATGAGAAACATATTTGATGAAACAAAGATCAAAATGAAACAATAAAACTAGGAACACTGGCTTGTTATATCTATTGAGACGATTGAACACCCGTTCACCTTGTTTACGTGTGATAAAATCTGTAAATACGTAGAAGAATAACAACTAATCCAAAAAAAGAATAGAAAGAATTTTTCTTACTTGGTGTTGGGTTGTCTTGATCCAAGATGTAGTTAAATCGATCACGAAATGTAACACCATTTGTCGATATACCTGGATAATGAGTGAGCATCATATAAGCTTCAGCAAATTCTATTAATAAGCAAATATAGATTGTATCTCATGAAAGACACCATTTAAACATTGATTTACCCTCGAATGTCAGCTTTCCTGAATTTTACAAAAATAATAATTAATGAAATAATTTGATGAGACCTGGTGAAGCTCAAACCTGTTCCATCAAAATCGTAAATTTCAAATACATGATCCGACATCTTATCCAAATCGTGTTCAGTGAGCAATGGTGGTAAAGCGCTGAGAAGACTGCTAGGTTGACTATTTATGTACATTTTCTTGTATAAACGACAAAATTCTTTCTTGTCTATTTTGTTGTCGTTTCCGGTGGCGATAAGAAAATCTTTATAGATCTTTTCGACCATCGATAGAGGAATACCTAAGTTCATCGAAAAATTCTTTTATGAACAATAATAAAGAGAATAGTTCAATATTCACCAGTAACATTTCTGAATGGGATCAAATCCCATTCATTGAATGGTTTTTTCGAACTGCCACCACCCATTCTAATGGTTACAACAAAGAGAAAAACGCGCAATAATAAAAATAAGATTGACAATGTAGAGTAGTACTCTGAAGTCAAACACGTGCTTTTATATGAAGAGAAACGATGTTATTCTCTTTTTCTTTCTTTCTTTCTCGTTTGTTCCAGAAACGCTTTCGTGAGTGAATAATAGCACCAATGCACTGATGGCTCGCGTGTCATATAATATGACTAGCTACCATTCTACTCTTTGAACCAACAAGGATAAAAAAAAAATGAGAATTTCATCGTTCTTTGCCTTGGCATGTGTTCAAACATAACTTCTATAAAGAAAGAAAAACAAAGGAAACGACACGAGTTGCTGCTCTCCCCTTCTTCTTTCTCAATTATGATAGCTCTGATTTTGTTCTTTCTCTAGACGATTTCATCTTTCCAACATTTTGAGGAATATCATTTCTATATTGATCTTCTAAAAAGTTCTAACGTATTACTTTGATGTGGTCTGAGTTTATAGTCATACTTTTCTCATGGAGTCAAGTGTTTAACGCAACTGTATTGTAAAAACCACGAATACTGTCATATTCTAAACACAATACTATTTTAGGCTGAATTTTTCAGTCTATTCAAAAGAAAGATTTCTACTTATTTAAAAATTTCACAATAAAGCTTCGACAGGTTCTAGAATGAACTTAGCATACTCTATCGTTTTACAGACAAAAACCACTAGAGTGAAATTTCAAAAACACTATTGTCAAAGTCATAGTCTAATCTGTTGCATTAAGTTAGTAAATGAGTAACCGACATTTTTTTCTTTCTAGGTGTCTATCCCAGAGTCGTTTATATGAGCAAAGTTTTATTTGAAGCATAAATAGAGATCCGACTATTATTACTTCTATCATACCATCACTTCGAATAGGATAACCATGAATGGGTGAATTTGCTGGCTTGACAGCGTAAATAGGTATGCACTAGTTTTAGTTTCATCTGTTACTAAGTATCATTTTTGCTGGTACACGTAAGACCCTGTTTTTTACTGGTAAACTGGTATTCAGTGGATTTTCAGTGTAATCGTCAATATTATGTTAGCTATGTCGATGACCTCATAAAATTGCTTTTTGTCACTTGACCGTAATACTATTGAATATTAGAAAGAAAAGAATAAATATTGATAGCATGTTTGTCAATGAGAAAATGTGAAAATGCAAACTTATGAGTGAGATATTCTTTTAAAAGTTCTTCTTAAAACAGAAAAAAAACATACAATGTAAGCAAAACAGTTTTTCCACAAAATGTTGTCGATATGCAAAAATGTCACATGATCAATATAAAGAATATTAAGTTGATTCTGCTCACAAATAACTGGTTCCACTTTGAATGAAGTATGGTACTTATTGTAATTTTTTTAAATTTTTTCCTAGTAAAACAATATTTAATACTAACTTTGGGGCATTCACTTTTCATTTTGATTAAGAGAAGTTAAACTTTAATGATGAACTAAAATATGAGTCTTCTTTGTGTTTATAAATGTCATTCTAATTCAAATTTTCAAATATGAATCAAATTCAAACCATAAATAACCTTTATCCATTGTCACGCATTTGTTAAAATTGAATACGAATTTCGATAAAACAGATGGATTCCATACAACTTTTGATACCTTGTAAATCGTCAAAATAGCAACTCTGTTCAATCACCATATATTGAAAATCAGTCTTAGAACTTTTTCGCTGAGATTAGAACAGACAATGCATTTTGGAGAAGATCAGATCCTATATTTTCGTGGGTGAAAATACTTCTATGAAAAAGTATGCACGAATATCACCATCGGTGTGATAATACTCATATCGCACTGATACGAACCGTAGAGGTGAAACTTTAAATAGACGCTTAATCTCTGGAAAAACTCGTTAAGTGATTGATCGGAAGGTATCTCGAACTTCAGATCGGGTGACAAAAAAAAACTGATACATGTTGAACACTGATGCAGACTATAGCACTTAAGACAATCAGTCAAATTGGAGATGGTTCACTGTCAAAATTCATTCTTAAAAGGTAATGTAATAAACATTCGGATTTCCATAAACAAATTCCATAGATAATGCGTTCTACAAAAAGAGATTCTTTACTAGATATATATATATATATATATATATATACAAGTGTTTAACAATCTGAAGTGACGAAAAACATTCGTTGATGTGAGAATCAGATTTGAGTTGAGTTTTATGCTATTTTCATAATCTGACATAGAATCTTCTAGTCTGTCTAAGATTGGTTATGAGTGTTTAATCAATGTCCGTTTATCTTAGAGAATTCTCTGATACTTGAGCGTGTAGTTCTAGGTAAAAGATAGACTCATACACACATCTATCCACCCACACCCGAAGTTCTGCTGTTCCAAAAATTACTCGAAACCGAATCCGTTAAATCATCAGATAGATAAAAAAATTACAAATATATAGAAGAGCTTTCTACTATTGCGTTGTCATGATCATAGATGCCACATTTTTTAGTACTTAGTGAACAAAATAATACTTATATAACGCATATATACTGAACTCTTTAATCTCAACAATGAACAAATAAAGACTTCTTGGCATAGATATTAACATTTTTATATCTACTAGATAATAAATTGATTACAATACTGTTCAATGATTTACAAGACGACGAATGATTGTACAACCAGGTGTGATCGAACTTACGTAAACTCCATCCACTTTGGTCTCCTCACTTAGGCATCTTATAACATGATTTTCGAATTCGACCCAATTTTTTAAGAAAAAAGAGTGACAACGCTATGCAATGGAAGAACGTTCTTTCTTTTTAATATTTGCCTTTACTTTGTTCTTTTGGTTCTTATGTATTTACTTGACTTTATCATTTCGAGCACAAACAAATGGCTATTTATTTCTGCATTTACTAATTAAAGGTGTGGATTAAAGAATAACTTTTTAATCACACACTCACACTCCATCTATTATCGCCAGACTAGTCGACGGACCAGTCATATCAATATTTTATCTCATCAATTGATATACCATCCTTTGTTTTACTTTCTTCTGTATAATATCGACAATTTAATTTCTTTCATATTTCAATGTATCAGTTCTAAAACGAAAAAGTTCCCAAAAAATAAACTCAATAAGCAATATATATTGTTCTTTAATTTTTTGCTAACGAAAAAAAAACACAAGCAACACAAATCCATATACTATCATCTGTCAAAATTTAAGTCGCTTTCATTGTAGGATGAGCAAATACATGAAAGGCTGTTAGAACAATCACAGGAAGCTTCTATTTTACGATACATATCGTTTTGCTTAATTCTTTAGACATGCAGTAAACAGACCATTCATATTTCATAAGGAAATATTATTCATGTGTGATCTTTGATTGCGTATGAATCAACACTTCTTTTAGATCGTGTTTTTGTCTGAATGTCTAAATAATATTCAAAGAAGTAACTTACTATTGTTTTTATTTTGTATAATGTCGATAACGATAAGTTCGAAAAGCGGTTCGACTAAAGACGTTCTAGTTCTTGACAGAATTTTAATAAATTTCTAGAATAATAAATATTTTCTTTAGTCAGTAAAGAGATTCTTTACGGTGACTTGGATTTAATTAAATGCGTCGAATATCTTTAGATTAAGAAAGAAAAAACAAGATTTCATTATTTTGTTTTTTCATTAAATATTTACTAGGAAAGTGTACGAGGAACAGTGAGGTTTTGTGGCAATTGATAATGATTAAATAATGAATAAATTAATGATGATCCATCCATTGGTTTTATCCAAATTTGTGAACTAATTAAAGATTTACTTATCGATGATTTTCGTAATAAACAATCTATTCTCTGTTTTAATATAGATGAATCATCATTATGATATTCTTCAACTATATAAATCTGTAAGATTTTATTTATTTATATCAATGATAAAAAAGAAATAAAACATACTTCGGGCGTGGCATTGTCTAAAAAAAGAAATATATATATACAAATATAATGTACACGTTCGCGAGAAATGAAGACTATGTTTCTCCACTTTGTTTTTTCTTTACAGATCTTTATTCCTTTACTCATATTAGTGCTTTTACACTTAACCGAGTAAAGAAAATGCAACCTCACGATATAGTTTAAGTACTTAATAATCTCCAAACCATTGGTGGTCGAAAATCTATTAATTTGATTTCTTCTTCTTCATCATGTTCAATTTTAGTTAAGAACTAATCAACACTTTGACGATAAATTTTTTTTCGGAATATAATTTTCTTCATCACAAATATCAATAATATATTGACGAAGTTCATCAAGAGTTAAACTTTCAGCAACACTATTATAATTACAATCATTAACATATATATAAATCTTAAAATTTTATTCAAATTACTTACTAAACAAAACCTGCTGATATAACATGTTTCATTACTTCATTTTCAGCTAAAGGTTGACAATTTTTCCAAATTCGTTTTTGTATTATATAAACATGAAAATCAACAAGCTAAACAACAGATTATTAATTCTCACGTTTATGTATTTAATTGTGATGATTCAAATCGATTTATGCTAACAAGATTGACCCATTGTGTTGATCGCTGATTTTCAACTTGAGATTGCATCTTTAACAAAATGCATACAAATGCATGCATGAATTGATTTACTTTTTGTTTCATTCTGCAAGCTTCATCATTTTATTCAATAAAGAAAAAACAAAAACAAAAAACACTTATTCTGCCATGATCGACTTAAAGTGATTGTACTTATTTCATGAATACTTTGTTTTTTTTGTTGTTTTGATGTCCATATAAAAGACAAAGAAATAGGATGTGTTTTCTTTTAAATTAACCTCTTCTTAGAAGAATAATATGGTTTATCACTCATAGAATAAACAGTATATATATATGCTTCTAGCAAATATGTTTTTTTTTGATAAGAATCTCTGACATTCTCAAAAGAAACAAAACTAGAATTTTTGTTTTCTTTGAAATTTAAAATGTTGATTAAATGTGAAAAATCATTCGTTGTCGATACAGCTTGTGCAAATTAAAACCTATGTTAAGTTACTTTAAATATCATGAAAAAAGTCACCAGTAGAGATCTCTGTTCAATGGAATAATCAATCAAAAACTTAATGTTAGCAGAGAGACGGTTAAAAATTTCTATTTATAGTTTTGTCTGTGTATGCCTAGATTTTTCAAATAACTCAATTCAGGACTTAATTCGATCTGTACACAGCCGATTATTAAGAGGAAATTTTTCGGAGTTCAATCTCGTGGAGATTCTATTTTGAACTTTTCAAATTTTTCTCTCATATGATTAGAAAAATATTCGGTAGTTACTTTTGAATTAATTGTCAAGTGAAAGAATCAAAGTTAAATGAAAGGCAAATATGTCTTATTATTAGTACAATGCCTACGATTAATTTTGGCTTAATACGTAATACTTAGAGTCATGCTTAGTATAAATACAACAAATGAAGGAACAATTCTTGTGTTCAATCAATAGTTTTGGTAAAAATGCTTCAAGTGAAGTCATTATAATAAGTATGAAAATATTAATATTATCAATAGTGATAAAAACAAAAAACAATTGTTGGTTTGTATTTTGAAATTTAAGGTTTATAACTTACACAGTTTACTACTATGAATTCTTTCATCATAAAGTCATAATTAAACAATTCACTAGGTCAGAAAAAAACTATAATATCATCTAGTTTTTAGTGGAAAATATTGCTGATATGTAATAGTATATTTCTAGAGATACCATTGTCACATCGAAAGTCGAATTTATTCGCACGTTTTGACGAAGTAACCTCTCAAACTGACATCCATCATTTGAACTTATATTGAGCTTATAAGCCTTTGGTGTTGTTTATATATAGATCTAATAACTCTTAGAGGTTCTCGAATGTTTCAGTCGAAGTATTTTTCTTTATCTACATACTGGAATTTTTTATTAGAATTATCAAAATATTCTGCAAATTATTAAACTTATAGATAATAGTTTATAGTAAGTCATCTATGATATATGAAAAAGAAATTTAGTCGAATCTTCGATACAATAATATCATCTCAAATATGGCAACTCAACTACATTGTAATGGATGGGATCCGAACATACCCTGAATTATGTTTTTAATCTAGAATATCTCGTATTCAACTTTTTTTTGTCTATGTATTCTGTCTAAAAATCATTGTTTAGTCATATATTTCTATTATAAATACATTATCTATCACTTCATCTATCCAATATTTCCATTCTTAAATATCGAGGGTTTTGTAAGACAAACACACATTGATTGAACGTACTACAATGAAGTTTGATATAATGATTATGTAACTAATATGACTGATTTCACTTCAGATAAAATATTTCTGTTTGATTTCTTCTATCACAAAGTAAGATACTTGAACAATTATCTTTACAAATCTTATAGTGGTAAATAAAGATAATTCAACGAAAATTATAATCAGATTTCTAAAAATAAAACAAATCATTCTTCAATTGAATTGAATGTATTTTCTCACAAATATGACATTAAAAGATGATTGTCATTCTATTATTAATATACAACGACAGCAANATTGTTTGACGTATGTGCGCGGCTTGGGCGAGTAAGAATGTTACCTGTTCCTTGGAATTTTTTACTAGATTTGTCGGACACCTCTCCTATAAGAGTCGCTTCTAAGACATAAATCAAGAATAACATTTTGGGAGGCGGAAAGCAGGTTTGGTTTCGCTGATCCGTAGTGCATGCGATGAAAGTTTTAAAAAATTGTTAGCGTCCCGAAAAACTCTTGCTTTGATGAAAAATTAAGTACAAGTTTCGCAAAACGGATAACAGCTTCGGATTTGTCAACTCTGATTACCATGGGTAGAAGTTTACTAGTTAGACCCAGGTCAAATCGCGTAAAATCCAACTCAAATGAAGTAAAATCCCAATGGAAAGCAGTGAAATTCTAGCCGAATACAGTGAAATCCAAATGTGAATCGGATCAAGTCCAAAAGAAAGAATTGGATTTGGATTTGACTACAATTTGATTTCATGCAGACCTAGTAAAACGGTGCTCTTATGATTGTATGAGAAAATGCGGAGTTCTGAAGGAAGGGCATTCTCTTCCTTAAGAAAGCTTTAAGGTCTTCACTGCTGTAGGTTTTTGAGGGCGTACTGGTCTAAGCTAAATTACATTTTTTTCCATTTGGATTAAAGATCGATTTAAAATCTCACATCCTAAAATAGTACCTGTGCAGGTGGGTATAGGTATGGTCATGTACGCAGCAGAGTAATTAGGTCCAGCAATTACTTAATAACTTACATCTGGCTTTGTATCAACACCTTACAGATTTTTAGGAAATTTCTAATCCAACTTACTCGTACTTGTGTTGCGACGCCAATGAGCTGATCTACAGAGCGATAGACATATATATAGGATAGAGGGCGTCCGCGGGTGAATAGTCCGTCCACGATGTCTGACATATTACGGGCTTTTCAGGGAGATATTTATGGCTCAGCAAAGGTTATACAAGGGGATACTTATGACATGTCAAGGCCTATCGAAGGAGGATACCTATAGATCTTTAAGGAATATCCAGGGAGATACGTATGACTCATCAGTGCCTCTCCAAGGAAGGTAGTTATAGATCTTGAAGAGCCATCCAGGGGGGTACCTATGACTTTTTGTAGGCTACTCAGAAATGACAGTTATAAGTTTTCAAGGATTATGCGGAGGATGCATTATTTCTTCAGTACGAGGGAGAATGAATGCTCATCGAAGAACCTATTTAGAACGTGAATTAATGGAGAAAAAAGTATATAGCTTCATCTATCTCGTGATATTGTGAAAAAAAGTTATCAAAATATTGTAAGACGGTTAAAATACTGTGTTGACGAATCTCTTGATAGTTAGTATTAATTGAAATATTTTTATTTAACACTTCGATTGAAAATGGGACGTTAAGTGACTACCGTTAAGTAAGTATCATTGAATTTGATATTTTTTGGAACTCATATTAGTTTTGGAAGTAAATAGTGAGTGTCAGTTTTGAATGAATGCTTTAGAGGCTCCGTCATTAGTACTTAGATCATTCTGGAACATAGTAGTCTCTAGTAATTTGGTCTAACTGTAATGCTTTTTTGTTTTTCATGTAGGAAAAGAATGTTATTGAAGGAGTTAATCAATAGGATGGGGCGCTTTTTGATACAAAAGAGCCAGGATGGGATGGATCCCACAGACGGATCTAGAAGTTGAAACTCATTGAATTTCAAGTTTAGGTAATACTCAGCAGTATATGACAAAATTTATTGAAAGAAATTATAGTGTTTCGTAGTTTACTGAGGATAAAATCAAAGTGTGTAGCAGACTAATATGATAGTTGCATCGAGGAAACGGACAGCAAAACTAGTTTTGCTGATTTCTATGACATATATCGTAGATATATTATCATTAGGGGACAAGAAGCTATAGATTGAAGATGTATCTGACAATATAAATAAGTTTTTCTAGTATAAGGTTTTTAAATGAATCAAATTGTTAGATAAATATTTGGAAATGCGAACATTTTCGAAATGATAAGAATTCAGAGAACGCATTTCGCCTATACAATTTAGGAGTGTTAGTTTAGCATTGGTATTAGGAAAATACTAACACTTTTGTATTAGAATTAAGAAAAAGCCGAATGTTTTTTCTATTCGTGTTAAAAAAATAATTGAATCCTTTGGTATTAGCATTAAATTAAAATTAATATGAAATTTTCATTATTGGATACATTTTTCATAGGCATTAGCATTAAGTAATTATATTTTTAATACTATTACTAATTCATAACTAATGCCAGTGGTAATTAACTCTTTTAATGTTAACACAACAGTATTCAGACATCTTTTTTAAATTCTAATGCAAAAGCATTTTAAAAAAGTATTAAATTAGCGCAATGCTAATGCTAAGCCAGTACCTCTGATAAACACTGTTATAATTTTGATTTATTCATTTATTTGACATTTTTTGGAAAGTAATTATTTTAAAAACTCTCACAATATCTCATAAGTTCATAAAAGTCAGAGTTTATGGGTTCCACACCTTGGCCTCGGAAGGAGCCACGCTGACAAGCTGTTTCTTGTAGAAAGGCTTTTCAAAGTGTCTTTCTTTCGTGAAGTTCGGATAGAGTCTGTCAGGATTGATAAGTCCGTTGACGCAATCTATCCATTGACTAAATTAGGTATCCGAAAAGCTTAGCTCCGCTATTGTCAGAACACAGCGTGCAAATTTGAGGAGTATATAAGAGAAAAATTCTATGGCCTCCAAGTTGCCCGAAAAATTGCGCACTCCATTCTTACATTAGCGGTGAAAAACCTTTCTGAAGTCTGATTGCTCGAAATTTATATATCCGCGTTGATATGAACTCAGCCCCTAAATAGCCCATGGGGAGTTATAAGTAGCCCTGGATAGACCTTGCAGAAATATATGTATCCTTCTGGACAGGTCTTGAAGAGTCATAAGTACTCCCGGATGCCCCCTAAAGACATCTGGGTACTCTCCATTGATGGCCCTTGATGAGTCATACGTACCTCATGGGCAGCCCTTGAAGATCTGTAAATACCCTTCCTGGATAGGACTTTATGAGTTCTAAGTACTCCTCAGGATAGATCTTGAAAAGTCATAAACATCCTATCTGGACAAGCTCTGATGAGTCCTAAGTAGTCATCTGGATGACTCTTGATGAGTCATAGGCATTCCCTCGCCAGCCCTTGAATAGTTATAAGTGTTTTCCTTGAGAGACCTTGATGAGTCATAGGTACCCTCTGAGTATCCCTTGAAGACCGCTGAGTACTTTCCTCGAATAGCCGTGAAAAGTAAGAAATAGCAACCCATAGTTTACTACGGTGGGAAAGAACAGACCCCGAATCAGGTTCGATCTTCGCATTCAGTTGCTGGATTGGAGCTCTTCAACCGACTTGAAAATGACTGGATCAGTGCTTCGTCACCGAAGCAGAAATGGTGGGATACGGCCCGTACCCTGCCGTCCTGATAAGTCACCGAAATCGTGCCTGAAACGTCAACCCTATCCGGAGATTGCTTCCGGGTTCAGGAATAGGCGGGAGCTAGACCGGAAACGGAGACAGGAACCGGTGTAGGAATCCTGCTTCCGAAATTTTCTGGAAATCCATCGGATCCGGTCATTTTTTGCCGTACATCTTCGACTTGAGCATGAACTCTCTCAATGGCCTCGATTCTCTGAACAATTAACCCTTTGAGTCCCATATTAGCATTTTTGCTACACATGTTTTATAGCTGAATTTTATGGCATACTTTATAAAAATTTGCACGTCATTTGTTAGAATGAAGTCACAAATAATGTTCTACAACCTTCTCGAAGTATGTATGAATAAAAAATAGCTCTGTATTAAGAAAGATTCGAAATGTGTCTAAATACTGCTTGAATATGTATATGAAAGGGCATTTTCTGTCATTTTATATCTACGAAAATTAACGCAGTCGGATTGAAATATCGAATTTTTTCAAGATTATTTCTATATTACAAGTCGTCTCGGACACCAAATAAATGGATTCTGATCAAGAAAGTGATGGAAGCGGATTATTCTTTGATGAAGAAGATGACTCTCACAATGAGAACGAAAGTGATATTGAATTAGCTGAAGAAGAAGAAGACGATGATACAGATGAAGCGGAAGAGGAAAACGTCTCTGAAGATGAAAACGACGGAAATCTTACATGGAATTGGAATCAAAATATTCTTCGAAACACAGTCATTTCTCTAAACGAAGTTAGAGGACACACAACTATAAATTTTACCAAAAGCATCAATCCAATCGACGTATTCAATCAATTTTTTACAAAAGACATTATTGATTTGATAGTGGCACAAACCAATATCTATGGAGAACAAACGATTTTAGCAAACAATTCTACCAGTAATTGGCAAGAAGTTACGGAAAATGCTATCCGTTCTTTTCTTGGCTTACTAATTATTATGAGCCTACATCGATTACCTCGTATGAGAGATTACTGGAATAGAAATAAAATATTCTACACAGAAGTTGCAGCAAATGCAATGTCCAGGAACGAATTCTGCTGAATATTATCTGCATTACATTTATCAGATAATGCTAAACAGGATCAGCTTCCAAAAAATTCAAAAGAATACAAATTATTCAAAGCTTTTGATTTTATTTGTTTATTGAAAAAGAATTTTCAGAAGAATTTTAATTTGGGTACCAACATCTGCATTGATGAAAGTATGATCAAATTCAAAGGAAGAAGTTCTTTGAAGCAGTTTTTACCTTTAAATCCATAAAAAGGGGATATAAAGTGTGGTGTTTAGCGGATTCTTTGACTGGATATCTTTATAGCTTCGACATCTATACTGGTAAACAAGGAGAAAAACAAAGAGCATTAGGTGAATCTGTAGTTTTACAGCTTATTAGTGAAATCAACTTAGTGGAATATCATATATTTTTCGACAATTTCTTTACATCCGTTTCTTTGCTGTTACGGCTGAAAAAGAAAAAAAGTAGCAGCAACTGCGACAATAAGAAATAATAGGAAGGTGTTTCCTAAGGAACTCTTACAAAAAGATAAATTGAAAAGAGGTGAATATAAATTTTTCTCCGCTAATGAAATATCAGTGGTGAAGTGGCAAGATAAAAAACCGGTGTTTGTTGCCAGCAATTTTTATGATCCAAGAGGAACGGAAACGGTCACTAGAAGAGAAAAAGATGGATCAAAACAAATCGTTATTTGTCCTAAAATGGTATCTGAATACAACAAATTCATGCATGGCGTGGATTTTTTTGATAAACGAATGTCCTATTATTCAATTGATAGAAAATCTAAGCGAAACTGGATACGCATATTTGTTTATTTTCTTCAAGCAAGTGTTTTCAATGCATTCATCTGTTACAACGACTTGAGTGAGAAAAATATGACTTATATGGAATTTCTCCCTTCTGTCTCAATATCACTAATTGGTAATCAAAGTTCGCGGCAAACGAGAGGCAGACCTATTTATATTTCTGCCAGAAAGGAAAGTGAAATTCAATACACATTAGGAAACAAACCTTCAGCAGCTCAGTTACCAGCACATATGCCTGTTGCTGGATCCAGAGGAAGGTGCAAATATTGCAGTACGATGGTTTCTCCGGTGTTCACCAGCATAAAATGCGATTTTTGCGGTGTATCTCTTTGTGTCAAACGAAAAAAAGAATTGCTTTTTGTTATTTCATGAAAAACTTGCATAAGTTTTGTAGTCAATAAACATAACAGATAAATTATCCACTGACTTATGACAAAATTTAATAAAGTTAAACGCAGTAAACTAAGAGCATAGTCATCGGAGTTCTTCATACCATACGCTGTATGTCTAGAATGAGTTACTTTCACGATTTACTTGAATTCATTTCACCGAAAAATAATTTGGGACTCAAAGGGTTAGAGAAGTAAATGCTTATTTTCGCGGACTATTTACTGTAACAAAGTGGCCTCGTCCAAGATTTTTCGCTAAAAAGTTATATCCAATCAACATGGAAGCTTGAATTCTGATCCATCAGTGAAATGTCACGTACATCCTCATAAAGACGATTAGTGTCTCCTCATTAAAGCACAGATAGCGCCATATACAATGCATTAGAAAAGTAACGAACAAAATCATCAACATCCATAAAAGAAAGAAGATAATATCATTAACACATCCACAATCATCTGGCAAGCTTTGTGCAAAACAATTCAGGCTAGTTCGTTGAAAGTCACGTGTCTTTTATAGTATATGCTGATCTTTATCTTTTTTCGCAAGTCACAGTAAACTTTGTCAAAGACTTCTAAACAACTTGATATCGGTTTGCGTAGGCACGAATATCATTTAGGTTCAGTTTTCGCGCCAAACTATGATAGAGCGTACCTACCCACAACTTTGAACCGATTTTCGTGTTTTCTCCACAGATAATCGATGAAAGCTTTTCGAGTTTTTACCAAAACTCTTATGTAAGTGGGTACTACATTTACCACAGTGAAAAAAAATTCTCTTGGGCTGCGAAAAAATGGCTTTTTACTCCACTCGCAACTTCCATACATCAGATCGCCCCTATACTATGGGTGGGACCATCTGTGAGTATAATATAAATGTTGACCTGAGTTGAGTCAAGCTATATCATTGAATAGAGCGTATCAATTAATATTGACTGATTGCCATCTTCGCATTTTTCAATAATGGGATACTTGTGAGAGAATTTAGCTGCGTCGCTCGATGTATTGCAGTCATTATTAATTTTCAAATGTAGTTCACCTATGAAAATAGGATATAAACCCAATAACATTGTCCAATAGACAATGCTAAGTTTCATAATCACTGCTCAGTCACGGACATAAACTAAATTAAAAAGAGATATTCTTGTTAATGAGTGTAATTGGACTGTAACAAACCGAAACCTCCTTTATTCTGCTATTTCCTATATGCGTGCGTGCCAGAAGTCGATTCACCTCACACATATTTCCTTAATATGCTCTTTCTCTTCTCTTCTCATGTTGTCGAGAGCACAGTATGACGATTTTCCTTTGTTTGAGATTTTTCTCTCTTCTCTAAGGATCGAAATTTAAGCACAATCACACGGAAAGCTTAAGAAAAATTATATATTTTCTAGCTTTAGTCTCTGGTGAGTTCATCATAGGCTCATTTTCGTTCATCTGCAAGTAACACATAGGACTATTGAAGTCAGTCAACAAAACCTCGCAAGACCAAATGCTTGCAACAGCAACATATCTTGGAATTTTTAATTTAGGTCTAGTCATTATTGCTATGCTTATATTTTTATTAATCTTCATTATCGTTTTCAATTGTCGTCAAGAACTAAATGATATATCGTTGATATTAACATGCAACACTTGCCTAGCTGCACTTCTCACATGTATTGCAGAATGTATCATGACTATTTCTAATTTAACAACAGGATTTTTAAATCCTAACCTTAACTTTTGTTATGGATGGGGATTACTCTATGATATATTTGAATGTTCAATTTATCATAGTTATTATTTGCAAGCATTCTTTCGTCTATGTCGAGTTGTATTTTACAAGAAAAACTTCCTGCTGTCTTATTCCTTATATATCATATTAACTATTGGACAATGGCTACTCTCCATTGCCTTGCTTATACTAACACTTCTCCTAAAATGGTACATTCATTTACCGACGGAGACCTATTGTCTTATTCCATATACCGATATAGGGGCATCCACATATCTCATCATGATCCTATATCTTATTCCATTAATTTCTATTGCATTAACCTATGCATGGATAACGAAATTTATACGTGGTTCTGCACGCCCAGCAACACTTATTATAGCTGCAAAACAGCGACAACGAAACTTAAGAGATTTGACAGTTATAAAGCGCATTGTTGTATTATTATTAATATTAGCAGCGTTACGTTGTCCAACGATCATCTTTATTATATACGGAGTCTTTACTGGACACTTATATTCGTTAACATATTCAATTGTTGGTTTCATCACATCAGCATGTTTAACAATTATCGGATTGATCACAATTCGTATAACACCACAATTAAAAAAGAATATTTTCATTTTGTCATTTTGTCGGAACCGTCGAGTGCATATAAACCAAACACCATTACAACATTTAGAACCAATAGAAACTGCGCAAGGCAACATTATTAGTACTCGCCAGATCAAAACCGCGAACGCGCGAAATGATATTATTACAGAGAACAAATTCTAATAGCATTTTTCGTTTTCAATGACAATCTCACATCTCCTAACTCGCCTGTCAATGCAAAAACCTCAATGTTTGTCTGCACTGATGCTTTCTTCGCTTTCTTCGTTGTCTGAACACTACAGTTCGTCAAAATTATCATTTCTCTCGATTATGGATTCGTAAAGAAGACTATGATTTCTTTGTTTTCCTCTTTCGCATATTCTCTTTCCACATAGTCTATGTAGTGTGTCATGTATATTATGTTTATTCTATCATATCACCATAGATCCAATTTTGACATTGTCGTTTTTAGCGCTTTCTTTTTAGTAAACTAGATATTAGTCATTTGACTGCTTTTCAGTTGTCTTCGAATCTTAAACACTGTTGAGTTTTTTCTTCGAAATGAACGAGAAATGATGAAGAGAAAAAACAAACAGGACAAAAAGATTCAGTGACATCCACATAAAAAAATTATTGATAAACTTGCCCTCCGTTGACCTGACGACTTTATGTAAATGGGATACCGTCAAAATAGAAAGATGAAGACGACACTGACAACTGAGAACGGAAATGACTTCTCTGTCTTTAAAAATTGACACAATACTTGAGAGAATGAGCATCTTTAGTCGAAATTGTTACACAGATGCATGAATAGTTTCCCAACTCTATCAACAATCAAAATAGCTTTTTTCGCTACTACATAGCATGGCGCAGCTTATTCTTCAATGTAAAAAATCTGATGAAATAGATTTCACATTAAATTGAAGAGGCGTGATTAAACATCGCGCAATTTCTAGGACGGCGTTCATCTAACACGCTAGCATTATGTGTCTTTGCAGCTTCAACTTTTCAACTATCCTTTCACTGGTTCAATTGACTTTTGACAGTTAGGTGTATTTCAAAAGCAAACCGCTTCAGCTTATTTCCTCTCACTATATAGAAAATCTTTTTTTTTAATGCTCGAAGAATTATATAATCAACGCGAAATGACAACACAGAATGTTTAGCTCAAACAGAATAGATTACTTCACAAGAATTAAAATTGTAAGTCTGCTTGTGCCACCTTCTAGTTGGAGCCACACTGACATGATATCCGAAATCAAGCACTGCCAACTCCACTATCAGTGTTAAGTCTTGATCTCCACTTATCTTTATTATCAGAACAAACCAGCTGGCGTTCATACTAGTACATGAAAGAGACACAAAAGCGCGAAAAATACCAAGGAACAATGGAAAGAAAGAGGGATGCCACATCCAGGGGTGGGATTAATACCATTGTCTGGTAACAAATTCTCCAGTTTGAATGCCCATGTCCAACCACTTTGGAGCGAATGAAGTTTGATCTGTGAAACATCGATCACAATACCACGGTCTCCACTAGCTACGCGCCATGGAAGTGAATCAATACTTGAGCCCAGAAGTGTCACAACTGTTTTGGAGGAACTCAATGGAGCACCGAGTATAATTTCAGAATTATCTTTTGGCCATATAGGAAGAAGAGCATAGACGAATTTAGTGTCTTTTGATGATGTATACCTAAAGCGAGAAAAATCTCCATACTTTTCTATTGAATCAGACTTACCAGACATTGGGATTGGTGGAATCATTTTGATACTTCCATGGTTTCGTAGCATAAATCGCCTCACCATTGACTTGCAACCATGAACCCATCTGTCGAAGACGTTCTTGATATATTGGTGGAATCTTTCCATGCAAGTTGGGTCCAACATTGATCAAGACATTTCCTCCAGTACTGAACAAAAAGTAATAATAAAGCTCTTGTCATGAAAATTTTCAACAAAGAAATGGAAACAACCTGATCGTAATAACTAATTCTTTGAGCAATTCTTCAATTGTCATATAATCCTCAATGTTAGCCGTAGGACGGTATCCCCATGATATTTTATCGATCTATTCAAATACAATAACTATTGAAATTTAATTGAACTTTTTGAAAGCTTTACTTCATACCGTGAAGGCATTTTCCCATTTATGCTCAATTAGATATCCCGGATTGTAACGATCCGAACAGGTGTAGAAATCGCCATGTTTACACGGAGTTTCTCTACCCCATCGATCGTTGACAACCTACAGAAACTAACTAGATATTTTAATCATTAAGCATAGACAGATACCTACGACAGTGTTTTTCACAGGACTATCATTGTAGAGCCAAGCCAAAAACTGAGTAGAATTCCAATAGGTATCAGGTGCTTCTGAAATAGAATGTGAATGCATTTGAAGAATAGAGATTTATTAACGAACGCCATTCGCCATCAGACCAGACTACTTCGGGTTTGTACATTTCCACAAGTTCTTTTAGCTCCGGCAATGCTTTCGTCTATAAAGATATATTCTCCCTCTTATTTTGTTTCATGGATAGTGAAAATTTACTTTTGGAAAGTATTGAGTGGTGAAATTGTTAGACTTATCTCGTAGATACACTGGATTGAACCATTCAAACAATGAATAATACAAACCAAAGACAATATTTGTTCGATTTCGAATAGCTGCAGCCAGATCTCCTAAAAGTATCGCATTGAGAAAAAGGAAATAAAGCTAAGAAGATCTTTTGAACCGAGTAAATTTCGTTTTGGACCAACATCCATCGAGTTCCAATTGAAAGAAAACGTCGATGGCCACATGGCGAAACCTTCATGATGCTATTTTCGAAATACAACAGAAACTATTTACTTGATATTGTAATATCAATGCATTTCAAACTGACCTTGCTAGTGAGAACAACGTACCTGAAGAGAGAATGCGAGATATTTCTATGAAAAGCGAAAAACATCGACTTACTTTGCACCAGAGGCAGCGAATAGATCGACCCATTCATTTGGATCTAAAATTCAGAGGAGTTGTCAATGTTTTCCAAGAAATCTTTCCTCGATATTCACCATAGAGATCCGCACGAAATTGTGGACCGAAATTCGTATAAGTCCAATCTGGTGGATAGTTTTTCTTCATATAAGCTACAATGTTCTCATGTGGATTGGTGCCTTGCCAATACCACCACATCCTATTAACAATTCGAACAAACAATTTTGTTCCTCTTCTGTGTTTTTTCGAACATGGGATAGGTGCGTTGCTAATAACTGATCAGGCAAACCTACCATTCAGTAGAGATGGACGGAACGCTGTACACACCCCAATGAATGAAGATACCTATTTTGCTATCGTCGTACCATTTGGGCAATGGGCGTGCATCGAGTGATGTCCAATCAGGAGTATATTGTTGTTCACTCACCGATAGAAGTGAACAAGAGAGAAGAGTAACGAATATCAGTTTTGTCATGCAATAACACATCTTATTGATCTAAAAAAGAGAGGTAATACGACAATTGAAGCCAAGATACAGAAGAACATTAAAGGATGCGAAGCGAACATAGTAACTAGTTTCTGTAATTGATTGTGTGAGTATGGTTTAGGACTCTCCCTGGGAGTTTTCTATTAATATACATTATTGGTCGATTTTCGATGAGACAGATCACATCATGATAAAAGAATAAGTAGTGAGTGTCAAACTTGAACCTACGATGCTTATATCATCCAGAGATCATCCTTGGAAAACAAAGTTCTATATTAGAGAGATTTTATTCGAACTTGAAAATAGAGAGAACTTGTTTTCATCACCGACTTTTTCGATCGCGTTGAACAACATTCGAACAAATGACAGAATCCGGATTGCTTTTGTCGCTTCTATAGTGCTTCGATATGCAGAAAAAAGAGCTCTACACTTATCTAGAGTGATTTATAAGCCCAATTTATGGCACTCCTTTGAGAAGTTTGAATTTTTCTGCAGAATAACCGCTTTCGAGATTCATATGAAGAACATGACAGGTATAAGTGAGCAGTTATGTACCATATATCCTCGCACATCTTTCAAGGCAATTCTCTTCTAGACCTTTGTCACAACTAAAAAGTTGATTTTTAGCATTCAAAGACATTTCTTGCTTTTCTTGAAATAGACATTTTTGCTTTTTGCTGTTCTGATGTCGACGAGTTCTTGCTTGCTTTAGATGTTTGAAAGCTTGAAAATATTTGAAAATTAAAAAGAAAATTGTTCTGTACAACTTGACAGAGCCAGAATTTTGATGTATAACTTCTTCGAAAACAAAATAATTTTTCCACATAAGTATCCAGAATTTTTCAGATGTCTTAAGAAAATCGGAATCTAGCTGCAGATCTTATCTACATTTTAAAATAAACCTCGATCTCTATCGTTATTATCATCGTCACCAAGTAAGATTTTGCATTTCTCAACTCTTTCCAAAGAAAGCACTTTAATATCGACAGTGCCTTCTTCAATGGTGTCCAAATTTTAATTGTAGACTTTGTCGCAAATATGTTCATCGGGAGAATATCGATGTCTATACAATAGACACTATTGTCACACTTGTGTAGTGATGAAGCTTTTTCTTTCGTTTGTCGTCCATAATCTGATGACAACAAAAAGAAAGGATTAATGCTAATTCTTTGTCTCTTTAGTTTTTTGCGAAGAGATTACATATTTATGCATGGCGAATATGAGTCGCTGCTTTCATTTTCGAAGTTGTTGAGATACAAGCGAAGAATGATGTATTGTGTTGACTCTTGATTATGATTCTCTTCTTCCAGTTTTCAAAAGAAGTATCATATAATCAAGTGTTATATAATCCAGTGTCATATAGTGCAATGTTTTATGGAGGAGACCTTGAAGGAGAGCCACGATTAGAGTTGTTGAATCCATATCATCGCTTTGAATTGTATTTTTATTGTAGACAGGAAAAAATGTGATAGAAATAACGTTTGAAGCTACAACTCAAACAGCTGTATGATGAAAGAGATATTGAAATTACGAATATAAATATTAAAGGTATTTTTTCACTACTAGACGCGTAGTTCAAGTCTAATCATGCATAACATTCAAAAATAATTCATCAAACCAGCAGTAGGTAAGAGACATAGATCATGTTTCACTACAGGTCTTTAATTTGTAGCGTGAAATCTTGTCATTTAGTGGATTCACTTTGTTGCGAAGTAGTCTCATCTGAAAAAGCATCTCTAATTTTACTAGGAACACTTTGAAAAAGTTTGTTATGCTAAATATTGATACACAATATTTTTTTTGGGGAAAAAAATTGCATGATGATGTCGTAATGAACCATGATAATGAATTTTGACGTAAAAGAAACATCCTACAGATTTTTTGTGCTGTTATAGACTCATAAGTATCTCTGCATTCTATGCAATATAACTAACATTTGAATCATTCATATAAAATCTGTCAGATAGACAGAGAAACCTCAGATGAGTGGTCGAGGGTGTGGATGTGGATGTTTACTTACTCTTCATAAAAGTGTCTGCTCCAAAGTCCATTTTAATCCTCATATTTCGTTGTGTACCTTGATTTTTTCCGCGGATTGAAGTTTTTCCATGTGAAACAAAGAACAATTATAGTTATCTATTTAATTTTATTGACCTCTGTTCAGCTGACGATTCATTGGAGAATTTGTCTCGGTGCAGGATCAATGCGCTAGGAAATAAATGCCGGGCATCTTGTCAGTATGGGTGTGAATGGATATAAGTCTCTACAGAGCACCAGAACAATACTCATACCACGTAACTCGTTAAGATATTACAAATAAATTTACCACTGATAGTATTGAATATTCCAATATACAAAGTGGAACTACTGTTAGTGGCCGAGCTGCTATTGCTGATCTTGATGTTGTTGAAAAATAATATTTACAAGAAAATGCTCATAAATTTAGTCTTTATCTTTTGAATAAATTAAAAGAAGTTTAAAAAAATATGAAATTCTTGGTAATGCATGTAGTCGAGGACTTTTTTGGAATTGAAATTTGACATAATCGAGAAAAATGTGAACCTAATTTTGAAGAGACAAATGAAATAAAACAGNAGGAGAGCACGTACTTCATCTTTCGAGTAATCCATTGTGATTAGAAGAGAGTTATGGCGTTGCGAGCGTATTTGTGTGTGAGTGCAATAACTTATGATGCTGTTTTTATATGCCAAAGGAGTGTCGAGTGATCAAAAAAACCACGATTTATATACGATATGAATCAGCCTTTTTTGGTGTCGGTAGAAAACTGAGATAAGAACACGAATGTTGCTTCAAAGGATCGTGTCTTCGTTTTGCGAACGCAAAAAGTCAACAGTGCAATAAAACGACAAGATTCCGTTGCGCAGAAGCACTCAAACAAAAAAAAAAAAGGTGAGAATATGCTGTGATACATCAGGATCTGCAAAACATGTAATAAGCTTTTATTTTGAACCTTCTCTCGTTGACAACAGAGTGAGGATGTGGATGTGGGGTGGGGTGCAGACAAAGGTGGACCCGACTGAGTTTGTGAGTTTCTTTACTTAATTGACTTAAAATGATTTTCGTGATTTTAATGACTTTAAAAAGCATACACACGTGGACAAAACTATTTTCCTTCTCTTTCTTATTATGCTATCATACTTCGCATCAAATTTATTATCAAGCACAGATATGACATGGAGTTTTATATCAATGTAATATACATATCATACTCAAATAAAAACTTTTGTGTCATATATTTACTTAGTAATAAGTTTGATGTGCATGAAGTATGATAGCATAATAAGAAAGAGGAGGAGAAGACTTCCCCGGGGGTGTAGGCGTGGTTAGTAGCGGATTTGAATAATTTCACCGGCGATCCGCTCAAGAACATTTTCCAGAGCTGTTGGTCAGTGTTTCAAGTACAGCTTGGCTAGCTCTATCCACTGGCATAATTAGGCCTCCAATAATCCAATCTATGTTTTCGAAAACTTCGAAATACTAGTAGATCAGAATAAGAGCTTTGGAACTTGTATAGTAAATATACCAGCGGCTCGTCTAGGCACCTTAAGACAGATTCCTGTTCTTGTTCAAGTATAACTTGACGAGCTCTACCCAGTGGTATAATTAAATTTTTTCGTTTTTCAAATAACTAACAAAAATTAGTAGTCGATT